AAACTAAAATAAGGAAATCATAGGTGGTATACAGAGAGGTTTACTTCAGTATCTTACAGCAATTGTCCTGAAGTAAACGAGTTAATTGCTTCNAGTCAACGCACCCGTGTCACCGAGACCCTGGCCAGAGCGTTAGTTATGGGCATTGACGTGCTACGTACATGTAGACGCGTGTGGGATTGAACAAGCTGCACGCTTTCAAATTCTGTTCTATTATTTGAGGGAGTCGAGACTTTACATATGTCTGTATGTGTGTGTGTGCGCGTGTGTGCATGCTTGCGCTCGTGTGTAACCTTTCGTCGTTTCCTTTTCAATATTTCGAATTCTTTTTCCCTTTGCAAACCTGCATGAAACCAAGAGGAAGATAAAAAGTAGCCTCTTACATATTCCTCTTTTTTCTTTCTCTCTCAGATAGCCTTTGAGCCAAATTATTTTTTAACATGACCTAGTCTTTTTTATATTATTAAAGTACACATAAGGTGTGGTAAGGCTCAAATATTCTCATTAAAGCCTAGATTACATTTACACGGGCGCCGTGCGATGAAATTGTCCGTACGATTTTTTTAAATCGTAAGGAGCTACGGGCTACGCCGAGTATGTCTACATTACATGGCCTTTAATCCATACGATTCCGTGTGATTTCGCACGGCCACCGTCTTACTCAGCTCAGATACCGTGCCAAAACGGTATTACGGGCAGTAGGCCTATACGTGCACCGTACATTTCAAATGTAATCAAGGCTTAATAGAGGTATTTCCGAGGAAGAATCTGAAGCTGAACACGTCATAGCCAGGTTAATATTGGATGCGTTCGTAAAAAAGAACACATTTCAAATAATTCCAGCATGACAAACGCTTATGATACAAAGAGGGGGGTAGCAGTGTCAAGACATAAATGTTAAATTGTGATTAAAAACGGGTCATAGTATAATACGGATATTTGAAGAGGAAATGGAGGACTATTGTCATTTCCTCTCCAAATATTCGTCACACATACAGTCACTTAGGCGTATATCGGGGTCACTTCTTGTATTATTACAAAAAAGGCTCATTCCCAATGATACCATCGGTCTACGTAGTTCGATCCAACACCACGGGGACTCTCGCTGAATGCAATCAGATTAAGTGAATGATCTTCCTGGCATTGAGTAGAATACAGAAAAGGCGATTACACGAGTACGTTGGAAACAAGCGCAGGTGCGTGTTAAACTGATTGCATTCAACGGAGTTGAATCGATCTACGTAGACCGATGGTGTCATTGGGAATGAGCCCAAAGAGATTTATCTCAGTTATTTAGTTCGCATGTTTAAGCTCAACAGCAGTTCTGTTGAGTTTATAGGGAGTGAAAACAATAAATCGTCTTGTGACCGGGACGGCACTGTGTTAGAAACTGTATTTCTTTTCGAACCACTTCGTACAGGTGACAATAGTCCCATATACAATATACCTGCAGAGTTTCGTCTCACCTTTAACTGTTTAAATAATATTGGACTTCTGTACCATGGACTACCAATGCTGTCATTGGGCAAGGAACAACAATAATAATAACAACAAAAACAACAATAATAATAATAATAATAATAATAATAAATTCAGAGCTTAGAATCCATTAAATGTTCCACAGTTTTTACAAACTAAAATAAGGAAATCATGGGTGGTATACAGAGAGGTTTACTTCAGTATCTTACAGCAATTGTCCTGAAGTAAACGAGTTAATTGCTCCATTAGTGATGCTAGAGAAGAACGCCGTGCTTGTGATAAAAAGAAGTTATAATAAATGTTATGGTTAAAATCATACATCAATTTCCTTTAAAAACACGACGTATCCATTTTAATCTAGATAGGGTATCTTAAAGACCAAAATAGCCACGCATTTGAAATACAAACAAAACATTGCTGTGTGGTGTCATTTAAAACCACTTCCGTTGCCACGCGTGTTTAACTGTCGTTAAACGTTTATTTACCAAAACAGTGTTTTAAAAAACATTTATCCACACCACTGTTACCGGTAACATTAAGAATATCATTAGATCCGATGAACCCACGCACTACTGGTATATCTAGTTATCTCGTGTCGAAACCTCGATCAAAGATACGCTAACTGCTCCTACCCTGCGCTCTTTCATGTGGTAAAAATGAAATCAATGTCACGAAAAACAGCAGTTTCACCGTGTTTAATGAATCAATTGTAGGCTGAAGGGTCCTTTATGTGGCTTTGAGCCATTAGGCATAATCAGGAGAGGAAAAAGTGCGGGGTAATTTTCTCACGATGTGATTTGCCTTTAACACTATACTCTTTTATAAAGTGCGTAGTAAAACGTCAGTTATTGTTTGGTATGAAACAAAGTTAGCAGTCTTCTGAAAGACCCACGGATGCGTGACCGGGCCTCGTTGGGATTCCGGTGTCCTTTTTTTGACAAACATAAAAGCAACGTTCGTAGTCCTCAATTCTATTTATTTACCACAATGCCCTTTTGAAGATTTCCCTATTTTCAAACCACTATTGAACATTCCATCCTCTTCCATAATAACATCTCATCATTCTGAAATATTTCATATGCATCAACAAGAAAAGCCTTCTGATTTAAAGTTTAATTCATTGCACAAAATTATTTAGTACTCGGGATACAATGCCCGTTCATTTTCTGCCATCGCGCTTCACTGATGTGCTGCCACCTCGCGGGCTAGAGAGGCACTTAAATTCATCAGACGGCCACGTTATGAAAATAGTGATTATAGGAAGTGTAAATTGAAATCATAATTATGATAAATCAATCTGCCAAATCTTCATTCCAAAACAATTTAGCCCATATAATTTTCACCATTTTTTATTGAATTGAGTAAGACAGTAGAGTTTGAACACACAGGCGTCAAAATAACGAACTAAGGTTAGAATGATAAAAACATGAACGTGAAACTTCGTGGTACTCATACCACTGTACAACCCGCAACGACTGACGCACAAAATAAGACGTTAGACTGACTTAACCTGCCCTCGTATTTTTAACGGAACGGAATCTATAACTCTGTTGCACATTTGGTATTTGTTACTGAGGGTTTCATGATCAGCTTTTAGGCCATGGTCCCAATTAACTACGTTTTGGACGCACGGTTCCTTGCGTCCGGCTAGGACGTAGCTAGATCGCACGTAGCGGCTGTTGATCATGTCGAAAAGTTTCTACGTGCTGTTTGCGTCCTCCAAAAGTCGCACGATGAACGTGCTCACGAACTCCCACGTTTTTCCCCACTTTTCGGCCGTAGACCACACGTAGCAGCCTGTACGTTCGGTTGGGGCCTAGGCTTTAGTCACTACGATTTAATCTGTTCTCTTACTGTCTTAGGTAACGAGTGACCACAATCATAACTGCGACAGTTTCCATGGTCACCCATGGCTGCTTTGAAAACATGCTCATGCAGTAAGGACTTGCGAACTATAACACCCTAAATCTAACAAATATTTTAAAGATAATGCCGCTGAATGAAGAAACGAATAAGAGGGCATTCAGGAAGTGTCCCTAGACTAATGATCATTCTTGGAGGTAGTTACAGTCTGTTGACAGTGTCAGATGTCTTTGACTTTCTAATGCTACACACCATACGTTCATTTGGCAGGTGTCTACTTACAAATAGTGCCAATCGTTATCAGGTCTCGAAGAAACTTGGAAACGTGGGCGAAGTCATGACTTGATATCACTCCATGCAATCTGTAGTGATTTTACCATTAATTTAACATAAATAATAATAAAAACTAAAACAGCATTTTTTGCCTATGTAAAGACCGTCTCCTTTACACAATAAACACGCAAGATATCAGATTCGGCCATGCGAATGTTGAGACACGCTCTTTGTAGAATAAGTAATGAAGAAAAAGTGCTGTGTGACATAATTTATTTCTAAGCATCAGCTAATCTCAGTTCCAATTAAACAAATCTAATTAAGGGAGACTACTGAACTGTAAAGCTAAGTAAGAACGAATTAGTTAGTTCATTTAAGACTGTGACTTAGAAAAATATAGATGTTTACAATTATGTCATTATATTCAGATTACAAAAATGAATGGTTTTCAAACTTCGCCTTCAAATCGCCAGTTTGGTAATTGTGCCAATACTTGAAGTAATGTCCTGTACGTCCTGCTTCCAAGGTCTTCCAAGCTGAGCTTATTAACAATACTGAACTTGGTAATCACACCTAAAATTACACATGATTACACCTCAAGATACAATTTTTAAATTGAATCTTAAAAAACACATCTGTTTAGTTTATCATAAATTCAGACAAGGCAATAAAGAATTATTGTAAAGGAAACGTAGAAAAAGAAAAGATTAAGATACCGCTGAAAACAATTAATTATACTAATTTATCCATATTCAATATTTATATAGTTTCTTGCAACCCTTCTGCATATTTTACACCCAAGTTTTACACCTAATTTTTAACATATAGACAATAAACAGGATCCTTATGAAAATCAAAATGGTTCATCCTTGCCCAGTTACCAGTCTGCAGAATTCTTTGGAGACATAAATCTCTAAATAATGGCCTCTATTTTGGAAAAAAAAACTGACCACAAACAAACAATATAGTTCAGGCAATTTGACTTCATTACATTTAAGATTCAAAAATCTTTGCCCATGCTAATTTGAAAACACTTTTTTCTTTTACAAAAAGACAGTAAACAAAATCCTTAGGAAAAATCAATAGGGTTCATCCTAGAGCGATTACCAATCTCCAGCAACATTTGGCAACCAAAATCTCTAAAATTGTGGCCCTATTGTGAGACAAAAGTTTGACCACAAACAAACAAACTAACAGACTAATATACTTGGGAAAATTTTCTCACAAGTTACAAGAAGCCACAATCACTTTGAAATATTTTCACAGTAAAAACAGTACAACTGACATTACAAGCGTCAGATTGCCAACTGAGCCTTCTCAACAAAAGTTTCACACCAAAAAGTGAGAACTGCGCATGCTCACAAGTTACTGGAAAAGTCCTCTTTTCACATGTCAATAGGAATGTGTCCAGGGTAAAACTCCTCTTGTGACCCTAATTCCTCTTCTTCTCTATTTTGCTCTTCTCCGTTTCTTTCCCTCGTCTCTATTTCTCTTAAGTCACCTTCCCTCCTGGGTGGCTGAGTCTGGTAACCAGATGTGGTATCCTTGCACTGGGCATCAGGCTTCTGAAACAAGCAACAGTTTATATTCTTTACACAAGGAATTCTCAAGTAAAAGGGGATTTTGCCATAAGGCTGGGCTGAGCATTAAAAGTTTGATTGTTGACAATATTTCTGAAAACATTGTATGATAGGAGTGATTAAAGGTACACACGAACCGAGCATTGGTGGAGCGTGGATTCCCAGTAACACGTATATGTAAACCACTTCTACTAGATTCTTATATGACTCAAATAAATTCGACATGCCAAGGGATAAACTGAAAAGATCACTCGATCAGCCATAAAAGACCTTTAGACTGCTCCTTTCTTTAAATTTTTGGTTGTAAATTTAACCTACTTTCATGACCTACTTTCCTGCCCCATTGACATACAGCTTAGAATGCCAGCAGAAAAATCCGTTCAAACATCATTTTCGGGTAAAATTAAACAATGCCTTTTGGTTATTCTCTTAGTTATACTAATTGAAACTATATGCTGGCATTTGGTTGGCTTTTGTGACAAAAAACTGACTTTGTATGCATCTTTAAGTGAAATAGTAAGAATTTTGATCTCTTTTTCAAGAGGGGTAGTATTCAGGGCTATGCACAATGCATGCTTGTGACTGCATAAGTTGTGACAGTGTGGGCTGTGTTACATTAGGTGTGACACTGCGGAGTTGTAATTGATATTGTGTTTGGTGAGAAATACTTTCCAATGCATTTTGGGAGGACAGAGAGAGAATAATCATAACAATAAGTGAGTATATTTTTTACAGAATGAAGTGTGGCAAGGAGTTATATGAGGCAAGATTACTATTTATTCCTTTAGGTGTGACAGTTTCAATCTCATTGCTTCAGGTGTGACAATTTTAATCTCAGGGCATAAGCTCACCTCTGTTTGGTCTTGAAGCAGTTGTTGAATATCTGGCAACACACTGGGTACAGTGACTGTAACTGGAAACATTACGGTGTTAGGTATCAATGAATGCACTGTATTAGGCACAACAGCATGAAAATTTCTCTCTAGAATATTAGTCTTTGCAAAGACCACACAGAATTTTAGCTAAATTGATTGTTATAAGGTATTTAAAATGCTATTATATCATTTACTAGTTCATATTTTTTGTCAGGGTCTTGAGCAAGTTCTATTTGTTTCATCAAAGATATTCAACCTCAGAGATTAAAGCTGCCCATTTACTAAATCATCTACATTTATGGTCAGCCAGTCGTCTGAAAAACACTACTGGGAAATTATCAAAGAGTTGACTTTATATAACCAGCTATCTGGTTCTAGCAGTCTAATGTAAGAATTACAACCTTATATGTACATTTTGTGTAGCTCATCCTTGAATACAAATTTAAATCAAGCACAGAACTGAAAGGTCACTGACTGTTCATTTTGAAACACACATACATCAGACTAACAAATATAGCCACTTGAATTAGCACACATGCATGCAGGCACCAAATCACACATACACACACACACACACACACACACACACACACACACACACACACACACACACTGATGCCATTACAGCAAACAGAAGCTGACCTGAGGAGTAAGGCAGACCATACCTGTTGGAGGTGTCAACTTTTCCTTCCTACGAATGTAATCTAAACAAGCGAAGGCACTGCATCGGTCATGTGGCACTGGGTTTAGCATCAATTTGACCAGATTCTTTAACCATGTGTACCGATCATCCTTAGGCATGTACTCTATAACATGGATGCCATACTCAACAATCTGAAAGGGGTTGAAATAAGCATCATGTTCACATCCACCTTGTCAATATTTTAGGCTTCTTTCAAACTGTTTTTTAGAATTAAAATTTTACACACATTTAAGAGCATCTACATATTAACTAAGCAAAAAAAAAACAAAAAAAAAAAAAAAAAAAAATACACAGGACTGAACAAATGAAAGTTTACCTCATCCCCAATTACCTTTAAAACGCTTTACAATGAGAAGTCAAATTTGAATTTGATTTAAAAAAAATAAAGCTGAAATAATTCAAATTGAAATGAATCTAATGACAAAAGTCCATTGCACAGATTACTCATATGCAACCAAATTACAGCTGTAAAAACCAATCTACCTACATGCTTCACCAAGTCCTTTTGATTTGTGGGCAGTGGTCCATTTGTCACTGCTCTAATCCTCTCTGGCAGATATGTGTAGACTTCAACTCCTGTCGTCAGAAATATCACGCTGCAGGCCAGAGCCCAGATGTCCATCTTTTCTGAGCAATTTTGCTTATCAGCGCACACCTCTGGGGGAAGATAGTTCACTGTCATGCCTGAAGTATGAAGATTGTGTTAGTTAAGAACAATAAGTAATGGGGGTAGTTCACTGTAATACCTTAAGTATGATGATTGTGTTAGTTGAGAATTAGTTTTCATAAAGGGTTTCAAAAGAAAAAAGACTGTGTTATAGTCCATATTTTAGCTGTGTGTGTAAAAAGAGAAACAATCTATACCATTACAAAAAAAAATAATAATAAAAAAAAAATAAAATAAAATTGAGAAAAATTTCAAACTGTTCACCTTGCCCAGGGTTTAATCCTCTTCTCATTGCACCACCATAGTCAAGAATCTTGACAATACCGTCAGTAGTTATCCCTATATTTGATGCTGTAAAGAAAAGGACAGTCTTATATTGCTACAACCGTGCTGATTTTTAGGCAAGCCACAAAAGAAAAAAAAACCTACAGGTGCAACCCAAAAATATTATCAAACAAGAGAATAAGAGAAGGGAGTAACTACTGTTAACTAAGGAGTAACATCCCTGTTAACTAAGGAGTAACCCCTGTTAACTAAGGAGTAACCCCTGTTAACTAAGGAGTAATATCCCTGTTAACTAAGGAGTAACCCCTGTTAACTAAGGAGTAACATCCCTGTTAACTAAGGAGTAACATCCCTGTTAACTAAGGAGTAACCCCTGTTAACTAAGGAGTAACATCCCTGTTAACTAAGGCGTAACATCCCTGTTAACTAAGCAGTAATATCCCTGTTAACAAAGGAGTAACCCCTGTTAACTAAGAGCAATATCCCTGTTAACTAAGGAGTAATATCCCTGTTAACTAGGGAGTAATATCCCTGTTAACTAAGGAGTAACCCCTGTTAACTAAGGAGTAATATCCCTGTTAACTAAGGTGTAACCCCTGTTAACTAAGGAGTAACCCCTGTTAACTAGGGATTAATCCCTGATACCAAATCCCTGTTCACTAAAGAAGAAACCTATGTAAACAAAAGAAGTAATCCATGTTAATTAAAAACATAATCTGTGATTTAAATGACCAATCCCTGTTCACTTAAGGAGTTACTACGTAACAGTTAACTAAGGAGTACCCCTGTTCATTAAAGGTCCAATCCAAGTCAAATAAAAGAGAAATCCCTGTTAACTAAAGAAGAAATCCCTTTTCAACTTAGAGGGCATTCCCAGAGATTTAGATCGATCTTACTCTCTTGGGGTTCACGCTAAATTGCAGTCAGCCAACTGCACACGGAAGTTAATTACCCCCACGGGGATAGATTGATCTAATATCTATGGGAATGCGTCCTTACGTTTGATATCCCTGTGCCACCATCCATGAGAATGCAAATGGTGCAGTCCCTCCAGCACCTGCTTTAGATAGTAAAATATCACCTCTTCCTGGAGACTCACAGGTGGTGGGCTGACCACTCCACTGGGGTAGATCAGGTGAACCCAAGTCCCACCTGAAAGTGGAAAATAATTAAAGGGATAAAGTGTAAGATTTTAAATACCTATTTTTCACTTAAAGGTACTTGTCGAACTTATCTTAAAACATGTAATACTTTTAGGAAGTGATGGCAGAAAATAAAATCCAAACACAGGCATAAAACTTTCATTATCCCAGATACCTAATAAGTTATGGGGAGTGTATGGGTAAAAGGCTAACCCTATGACTGGGCAAATAACATAATTTCAGAGCCCATGCCCCACCCCTACGTTTAACAATATCCTGTCAGATGTAGTAGATGAACATAACAATACCCGAGGCGCATTCAAGCAGTAATTCCACCATAGTCTCCCTTTTGATGACCCCTAAGAGCTTCAGTACATGCTTGTGAGGTGCCTCTAGTGGGAGAAGCACCTCATTTATAGAAAACCTCTCTTGGTGGATCTACGACATGTTGAAAATATTAAAAATTAAAATAGTCTGATATTTTATACCGAAAGCTCACTAAGGCCCCTATTTCACACAGACCACGAATCCTGAGGGATTCGTGAGGATTTGTGAGATTTTGCAAATTATCTGGCCTAATTCGACACGCTCTACGATTCAGTTACGATATAGGTGCTATAGTGTTATGAATATTTGTGGGATTCGGCTGGAATCGCACAAATATTGTCAAGAATTCACTACTATTTTTTGGAATCGGGAGTTCGTGGCCAAAATTTTGAACAGCTCAAAGTTTTTTTCCACGAATTCCCGATTGATCAAGAATTGCAAGGACTGACTACGATTATATACGAATCTGTCAAGAACTTCACGAACTGATTACGATTCAACCACTTATCCTAAAATTTGTCAATTCCTGGGATTCGTGGTCTGTGTGAAATAGGGGCATAATCACTCATTTTTTTCTTATTAAAAATAGCATTTTGTCAAATGGATATGTACTAGTATATAATATATAAAAATTGTAGTTAAAAATTTTTTTTTCTTAAAAACAAAACAAAAAGAATAACATGAGCCAAAAATTCATCTCTAAATATTATTTACAAGCTTTCCATTAACCTCTTTTTGAACAATTAACCTGAATTAATAACATCAACAACTTTAAAAATTGACTAAAATAAAACCAAAACATTGTACACCTTTTTGATGACGAAGTCCCGTTGTGTCGAAGAGTCCTGGCAATAGGAGACACGTCCAAATCCACCCGATGAGAGTTGCCTGGCATAGAAATGACCTCCACTGCTGCCATCTTTTGGTGATTCCTGGTATTTACCATTCTTACAAACAAGATTCTGAAAGTGAAAAAGAACCTTAATATAATTGAAACACACATCCTTTTTTATATAATATCTTATAACAAAATATTTTTTAACACAAATAAATTCATTTTTGAATAATTAAAAAAAACACAAATGTGTATTCTGTGGCTTAATGATTAAAAAAATCATGAGTTATTGACCAGACACAATTTATACAGTAAAATTATTATAAAAAATGCTATTTCCAATGCTCTGATATTAAAGCACTAAGAAGAAATTCTGGCTTTCCAAAAGGTTCACCCCACTTACCTTCCACAGCTATGTAAAACATGAAAGTTTTAACAGCAGATAAACCACTCTTAAGTGTTATATTTAAAAAAAATATTTTTCACCTTGTTTGTAAGAACTCCAATTTTTCCATTTTTACTCTTGAAATCTTCACTTTTCAGCATATCAAGCAGCATCTCTGGAGTCCCTCGAATAATATTTCCATGACCATGATGATGACGATGATGAGAAATTCCACCACGCTGCAGGCCACCTGCACCTTGACTAGCCGCACCAGCCACGGGGGACCTTTTAGTCTCTTGTTTTGGTTCACCCTGAGGGTGGATAAAAGATGGCGGCGAGCAAGGCTTTTGTGTTGCGTGTGGAGTGGCTGTGTCATTTATAAAATCTGTGAATCTGGTAGCATTGTCATCACTAACTTCCAGAGTCGAACACGGAGATCCTGCCACTGCCACTGTCGAGGGGTATTGGGTTCCTGAGGGGCTGGCATTACATGACGAGGAGGCTGATGTGTCCTCTGCCAGTTCTTCCTCTGGATCTTCTCGACTCACACTTTTCTTGTCAAGGGCACCTGCATCTGCTTCATTTCCACTTTCATCTTGGGGGGAGTTGGTGGAAATTTCCTATAACAATAAATGACACTGCATTATAGACAACATTACATGGAGGTCCATATATCGAGGTCTTTTTTCTTAATAGTGCGAAAGCTTTTGTTTTAAATAGTAAGAAAGTTTTAAATAGTAAGAAAACATCAATTATCAATCCACTTTATTCCAATCTGAAAATGGTTAAATACATACCCATTTTAACATTATCATCCATCATTTGTCTGCTAAAGGTTGGCATTTTACAATCTTGTTATTGTTATTTATAAACATCTGTTCACTTTTCTCCTGACTAAAAAACTGAAAACCAAAAAATAAAAACAAACTCTGCTCTTACTTCTGATCTGCTGTTCACCCCAGACCCAATGATCCCAGGATAGATACACAACAGCAGTATCGGCTTGAACTGGCGAAGGACGTACGACGCGAGTGTTGTTATACACCAGGTTATCTGCTGGTTGACTTGCCTTTTTCTTCTCCTGTACTGCCTTTTACCTTTAATAACAAATCAAAGACATTATATATATATATATATATATATATATATATATATATATATTCTTTAACAAAAATAAAAACAGATTTTGCAACTTGTTTTATAATAAAATAGTACTGTTCGCAAATTTCATAACTTAACAACTACAGTGTAGAAATAATTCACAATTTAGCCTAGAAAGGGGGATGACATGTAAAAAACTTAAATAACAAAATGGCAGACCAGATGATTTATCTATCTGCAAATATGCATCACATTACATCGAATATATTATTCATGATGTGCTACCAATTAGAAATTTCCTGGTACATTTCTCAGGAAACTATGAACTCCCATTTTGATACTAGTAACTACACATTTATTTTACTTAAACAGTCACCTACTTTGAGTTTGCCTGCACCACTTCACAATATCTATCCCACGAGAACCTCTTTCAACCCGAAGACATTTTCTGTTTAGATATTCGCTATGGTCGCCTGGCACTTTACAACACTCCTGGCTTGCTTCTTTGCTTCCTGTCAGTTTCCCATTAATTTTGGCTTTATTCAAACTACTTTTATTGATGATGCTTGGTCCAAGTGCCTTCACTGCAACCTGTTGGTATTTTCTTTTCTTTCTTTGGGCTGCCTTTTTATGGACACTTGCCTTGTGTTTTTTGCATCTGTTATTGCTGATAGGCCACTGACGATAAGACTTATTATTTTTTGTCTTCCTTCTTGTTTGTTTAATGTAAATATCTGGTTGTCCTAGTGGCAATTGTACATATACGGTCATCTCAGACTTCTCTCTCTTGCTCTTCTCTTGGTACCCACTCTTCTCACAAGGGAGGCGGTTTGAAACCATGTTAGGGCAGGTATTCTGTTCCACTGTAAGTCTTCCTTGCTTCTCCAATCTATCTTCTTTTTCTTCTTGTTGTTTCCCTTTCTCCTTTTCATCTCTTTCATCTTCTGAGGAGCCTGATTCCATCACCACTGCATCCCCAACCCAAACTTTGTCGCTGCCCTGGACCCCTTCCCTGTAGGCACCATGGACATCATTGTTGTTGGTGCTGCCATCTGCCTCAGATGGGGCGACAGAATTCCATGAATCAGTCTTTGCTGTCACCAATGTCATGACTCGGTCACCAACTTGCTGAAGACCTTGGGGTCTTTCAGGGGTAACAGGTGTCTCCAGACCATAATGAATTTCTTGAGAATTATTTTCATCACACTGTGGGGTCAACAGTGCATCATCTACAGGGACAGGGTTACTGTGAATGTTTACATTCGGTGGTTTAACCATGGTCATCATGGTTGTCCCTGTGGTATCTTCAGTAGCAGAATTTATATCCTGTTTCTCCTTTGAAAACTCTTTATCGCCTAATAGTTTCTCCTTTTCATCTGAATTTTCTGTTGAACCTCCTGTTGTTTGTGTTTTGTCTGCTGGGTTCACTTTGTTTTTTATATTTTCTTTGCCATCTACATGCACCAAAGTAGCTTTTGGGCCAAAATGTTCCAAAGTTTGGGACACAATATATCCAGAGAGTGTGCTCTCAGTTAATACTTTCATTTCTTCAATGCCATCTTTTGCTTTATAAGCTCTTCCCCTCTCTAAACTTACTAGTGCCCCCTGATAAGTAGTGGTTTTTTGTCTTACTGTAGACATTCTGCTTCATACACGTGCATCTGCTCACATAACTGAAAAAAACAAACAAACAGAAAAGTTCATTCTGTAGAGATTATACGTTTCAAAGAATGGAGAGAGAGAGAGAGAGAGAGAGAGAACATGTAAAATACAATACATAGCATGAAATGTAAAAATAAATGGACTTTGCCTGCTAGTCTACAGTAGTACATCTATATTTATCAAATTTACACAAAAATAATTTGCTCGACGGCCTTTCACGGAAAAAAATCAAACAAACAGTGCAATATTTGGAGAAGAACAGAATCACCTACCCTGAAAGCAGTAACGAATTGTTTAATTCAACCTGCAGGGTGGATTGGGCGTCGACGGCTTTTCGTTGAATGAGAAAATGGCTGAAGTTCTTCTTCAAGGGAATTTTTTTCGGGTTGGACTGTTTTCAACCCAGGGTTTGGGGGTTTCCAAAATATATACTGAGGGGAAGCCCCTGTCATACTGACAAAATGGCCAGACAGAGCGACGTCTGGGACAAACAAAATGAAAGTACTTCGAATAAACAATTGAACTTTAAATAGCACTCCCGCCTCTCCTTAAATGATCCAAATACCTTTAAGTTACTTGTCACTGGTGCCGGAAAGCTGAGGTAACAAATACCAGTTCTGTCCTCTGAATCAGGACAATACCAAGTTTACACCTCGTAAGGTCAGTGTCTACCTTTCAAATGGGATATGACGGCCGCGCACATGTGACGTCATAAGTCAGGTACATATATTGCAATTATTCATTTTTATTAAATTAATGTAGCTTATCAAGAGACATTTCTTATTTTAAAAAATGAAGATAATTAGAAATGACATCCCGGGATTTTTCAAAATAAAAATTATTTGCGGAAATAGAAAGAGGGGTTATATCGATGGCAAACTCTTGCCCTTTTACCATGGCTGAGGGAGAAGAACATGACCCTGGGGCTTTTGAAGCAATGTTTCAGAGCTTTCTGCATCAAAGTTCATACGAAAAGAAATACTTCAGTTTAAAGAGAAAATGCGAGTACTTGCAGCAGGTAATTTTAACCCCGTAATTGTAATGGAGGGTCAAGAAGATGAAGAAAACGATATTCGGGGAGGGGGGGGAGAGATTCCCAATTTGGTCAAAATCTTGAGACTAATGGAAGGGGGTTCAAAAAGCAAATAAGAACAGGCGGATAATGCACTGTAATCTACAGGTTCTCCCAATTTTCTTTGCTCATCCCAACTACGTCTTGAAGTAATATTTTATTTGCATAACTCATGTTAACGTGTGATCTATTATTATGTATTGCATTTTCACATAATTCTTGCCAACCCAGAGCACCTGTAATATCTTAAATCCTGCAAGTCCTCTGGCTTTTCAAGTGTCCATGACTGGTTGGACAGGCAGTATTCTCATTGATCTCTGCATTTTAGATTAAATTATATTAACTTCAATTCTCTTGTTATATTTATCAGCAACTCTGTCATCATATGTCAGTCATGTGTATTAATTATTATTTCTGGTATAAATTATTAAAATTACCTCATATATATGTTTTTTCATAGTTTAATGAAAAATTGGTAAATCGAATTCAGCAAGTGAAGAAGATTCTTAAAAAGACAAAGAAAGAGAGAAGGTAGGTTTGCATATGTCATAAAAAGTGAAAATAAAACATTTGGAATTTAAAGAGTATTTGTTAACAGATCAATCATTCTATAAATAAAGTCACCTTGACAGAGGCCAATAAATTGACTAAACAGCAGGGAGAGAACTTATCTAAGGGATTAAAATCCTCTGTCATGTAATTGAACCTCTCAAAGCATATGCTGTTAAGTTGTATGACTAAGATGTAATGGTGCTGTAATGAGACCTTTACAGTATTGCCATCGAGGTTAAATAACTTGTTCAAATTCAAATCTGATTTGTCAGTAAATCGCTGTCTTTATCGTAAAATGGAGCTATTATATATAGCTGCTGCCAAGCTTTAGACTGGTTTTTNACCGTGTTTTGACCCTGTTATATTTATCAGCAACTCTGTCATCATATGTCAGTCATGTGTATTAATTATTATTTCTGGTATAAATTATTAAAATTACCTCATATATATGTTTTTTCATAGTTTAATGAAAAATTGGTAAATCGAATTCAGCAAGTGAAGAAGATTCTTAAAAAGACAAAGAAAGAGAGAAGGTAGGTTTGCATATGTCATAAAAAGTGAAAATAAAACATTTGGAATTTAAAGAGTATTTGTTAACAGATCAATCATTCTATAAATAAAGTCACCTTGACAGAGGCCAATAAATTGACTAAACAGCAGGGAGAGAACTTATCTAAGGGATTAAAATCCTCTGTCATGTAATTGAACCTCTCAAAGCATATGCTGTTAAGTTGTATGCCTAAGATGAAATGGTGCTGTAATGAGACCTTTACAGTATTGCCATCGAGGTTAAATAACTTGTTCAAATTCAAATCTGATTTGTCAGTAAATCGCTGTCTTTATCGTAAAATGGAGCTATTATATATAGCTGCTGCCAAGCTTTAGACTGATTTTTCTCTTCTCAGATTTATGATGGGAAAGCTTGATGAACATGGAGACAACTTCAGAGATGCCATGGTGCCAGCTATGTGGGAGGTGAGACTGCCTTGTTTATTTTCAATTCACATGTAAGGTCGCTGCAGGGGCCTTGCAAGTAATCATCAAAGCCATGATTTAAAGGGGAATACAAGTCTCTGGGGACCTAAATTCAATAAAATCGGACCCCTCTTCTCTCTAGATCTNGAAAAGCAGTCTAATTGACTTCTTTTTCTGGAAGTTATACATTTTCAGAGTGTGAACTTGAACTCCTATGGGGCTGAAGCCTTATGCTTGTTACACATTTTACTTACATTGGAATTACCTGTTGAGCATAATTAAAATTTGATGTTGAATTTGCAGTTTAACATAATGTACTTTTGCATCAGAATTGACTGTACCCTATTTTGTTTTTTTCCTTCTTTTTGTCTGTACATTTGACAGCTTTGCTGCCTTGTTCTCTTCTCAGATTTATGATGGGAAAGCTTGATGAACATGGAGACAACTTCAGAGATGCCATGGTGCCAGCTATGTGGGAGGTGAGACTGCCTTGTTTATTTTCAATTCACATGTAAGGTCGCTGCAGGGGCCTTGCAAGTAATCATCAAAGCCATGATTTAAAGGGGAATACAAGTCTCTGGGGACCTAAATTCAATAAAATCGGACCCCTCTTCTCTCTAGATCTGCCCATCATGTTTTACCCACTGTAAGTGTAAGACTCAGTTTGGAAGGTAAATAATTATCCAGTCATAACGTCATTGCCTGAACTCTCTGACATTGGCCTATGCATTACAATGTGACCTGTAATGCCCTTGCAGGGGTACAACATGTTTACCTCTGAAGACACACTGTTACTGCCTATGTGTGTAGGTCACTTACATCAACAGAATAGAAATATCTCGGGAATTGAAGCGTATTATTCCATCATTTATAAGCATACGTTGTGCCTTTATCGTCCAAACGCCTGACTGTGAGGTAATACTATAAAAAACATACGTTTGCAAATAAATGCCGAAATAAGCCTTACAGTATTTTATTTCAATTTTTTAATACAGTTAGTCACTTTTAAATAATCGTTTAAAAATAGTCCAAGTGCTACTAGGAAGATATGTTTTACATAATCAGAATGCACAAAAGGCCAGGATAATGTGTTTCATATTTTGGTATCGTTAAGTGTTTTATTTGTGAGGTAAACAAGTTGTACCCGTGCAGGTTCAGGCAATGACGTCACGACTGGATTTATAATTACCTTCCAAAATTAGGCTTACACTTACAGTGGGTAAAACGTGATGGGTAGATCTAGAGAGAAGAGGGGGGTCGGAGTTTATTGAATTTAGGTCCCCAGAGACTTGTATTCCCCTTTAATCCTTAAAGGTAAAGGCCTGTGCAGAGGCAGAGAGATCATCAGGGGATTAAGCAGCATGCTTTAAAGTTGGATCAGCCATATATATTCAGCAGGTCATCTGTTCTGAATGCTCTTGTAGTAATGACTTATCTCATTTTAGGAGGACCAGATCCTGGATGCCCTTGCCACCAAAAGGGAGACCCCACTGCAGTCTCCAGTAGCAACTCCTGCCATGCTGACACCCTCTGGTGGTGTGAACATTCACCACACTCCCACTATAGCTGCCTACCACCCTTACTATGCAGGTAACCATAGAAACCAAGAGACGGGCTGTTTGTTTGTTTGTTTTTCTACATGTGTTAGGAGATGAATTTAAACTGGTGTTCAGCTGCTGCATCTCTACACCAGCTCACTAGGGTATTTGTTTTGGGGAATTATCAATAAATATGTCTCCCCTACACAACATTATACTTTTTAGGTACTTATTGTAACTGATAATAACTATTGTAAACATTGATTGCCCTAAATTCAATTTTGCTACTTGCCATGATAAGTTACTTATTTTAATATTTCGTAATGCATATATTTCAGTTATATGCTGCTACTTAGAAATAAAAAGTAAAGATATTTTTTATGAATGACTTGAATTCATTATTAGTGATTTATTTTCATTCATAACTGTCATATATGTCTTTGGCCAGGGTTGAGTATGTCTGAAGGAATGCCCCAGGGGAAGGGAAAGAAGGTGAAGAGTGAGAAGGAGAAGGACCCCAATGCTCCTAAGAAACCTCTGAATGCATACATCATGTTCTGTAACGAGCACAGAGCCAAAGTGCAGGAGGCATATCAGAAGGTAGGGGGAGAGAGAGGGGGGTATTTGTTTGAGAGAAAGAGAGGCCGAGAGAGAGAGAGAGAGAGAGAGAGAGAGAGAGAGAGAGAGAGAGAGAGAGAGTTTTGTTTGGGTTTATGAGAGAGAGAGAGAGATAGAGAGAGAGAGAGAGAGAGAGAGAGAAAAACAGTTTTTGTGTGGATTTATGAGAGAGGGGGAAAGAATGCAATTGCATTTGTGTGTGTGTAAGAGAGAGAGAGGTTTTGATTTTGCACGTGTGCTTTAGAAAGTGGGGGAATTACTTTATTTCTTTGAAAGTATGTTTGTGACACACTAGTCTTGTTCCTTTAACCTTAATATAACTGACGTACAGCTGGGAAAATTCACTTACAGTGGATCGGCTTGTCTTATTCAGTATGTGTATTAATCCCTTCTTGTGTGACTTTTCCACTCTAGGAGCACGGGAAGGATATTGACCACCATGAGCTGACCAAGCAGCTGGCTATAATGTGGAATAATAAGTCAACAGAGGAAAAAAAGGTGAGGGGATTACTGTAAAAACTTGAAATTGAACATTTAGTCACTTAAAAATTAATTAGTATCATATTATGTGTGAATGGCCATATACTAGGTGACAAACATTTCAAAATTATCGAGAGGCCCAAGTATGAAAAAATTTTCTAAGTGAAAAAAGTGACGTTGTTGGAGCCTTATCTTCTGACAAAATTTTCAAGACCGACTAAATTTTCAAAAAAAAATTACTGTAATTGTTAAAGGAAGTCTAAACTTTTGGTCTAGGCTCACACACTATTTCTATCAGATGGTATGGTTGATTTTAACTGAACAGAATTCAAAATATTTGATTATTTGAACAGTGTAACATTTATTTGTGTATGAGAGATCTGAAAGTTTTGCATGATTTTTGATGCCTTTGAGTTCTGTTTGTTATTTACAAGCTCTCCCGTGCTGAGGGCAAGTAAAGTTTTCTGAACATATTTGCAATGCTTTGGTCCACCATATAACAAAACATTACCACATTCAAAGATACAAGTGTTTTTTACTTTAAAGGGGTTAATTTAATGGTAAATATAAAATTTCATGTGAAGGGGTTTTTAACCAAATATAGGAGTATAACAAGATTAACATATTCATATATTTGGTTAACATACTCATATATTTAACAAAATATGAGTATGTTAACCTTGTAATACGGATGATGATTGATATGACTATGTTTCAAATGACAAATGCATAACAAAAATGAGTAATGTGTACTAGTATGTATAATTTCACCATTATTGGACTTTCAGGTATACTATGGCAAGTATGAAGTGGAAAAAGAAAAATATGCCAAACAAATGGAAGAATATACAGGGTCCCACCCGGCAGCCAGCAAGGAGGTCAAACAGGAAGTGGTCATCAAGACAGAGCCGCAGACCACAGACTGACCAATCTCGGGTCATAGACTGACCACTCCTTTATTTAATGCATAATAACTGGGTCATCTACTCAGGGGTGAAGGTCAAGTTGTGGCTTGTCTTGGATCACGTGATATGGTCTGTCATTTACCAGCCAGAAGGGTGGAAATTGTTCTCACTAGTGTCATCTGAATAATACCATTGTATTCAGATGGCAAGAAAAGGATATGGGCTTTAAATTGGAGTTTGAATATCGAAGCTTAACTTAACTGGTGCTGTCCATCTTGTCATGAATGAAAAACACTTTCATTTAAAAAGAGGGTCATGATGTTTGATGTACAGTTGTGCTGGTTGGACTTTTGAATTACCCTGCCTTGAAAAAAAAGATTCTTTCAAAAAATTACTTGTGTTTTCCTGGACCACCAATTTTTTTTCCCTATATATCTCATTTTAGAGCCTAATTTGAATTTGGAGTCATTAAAAAGTAGAAAAACAGTCAAGTAGTATTCATTTGAAAATTAGCAATAATATTTAATATGCTGTATTGAGTGTATTTTGATTAATATGTTATCATTCTAGTGTATAACTTATTTTTGTGTGTGTTTGTGACACATTTTATATTGTTCCTATGTTTATATTTTAGTATCCATCATAGGTTTTCAAAATATCCAGTCTTTTGTTTAACATGTTTTAATAAAATGTTTTTTACTGAAAACACAGAGTTGATAAAATAGTATATTTATGTGAGGTGTTGGAATGTGATATCATCATGTATTCTTCTAAATTGTGTGTAACCATAAAAATTCTTTATCCTTGCGCATTTGTGAATTTCCTTGTAAAAACAACCACTACGAAAATACTGTCTTTTTGAACAAGAACAGATTTTTTTTCTTTCTGGGGGAGGGGGGAAAACGTCTGAAAACAAATATTTAATTTTGGGTCAATTTGTCTCTATTTGATTGTTTTAAAAGGTAAAGTCCGAGATGCATGAACACATTGCACTGTTGGTATCGCTTTTCAAATTACAATATATGATGCAAATATAGGTCCAAGGTTTTAACAATATTCAGATAACATTTATTTCAACAAAATGAATCTCAAGCAATACAGTATTCCTAATAAATAAGATATCCATTTAATATATCCAGTTATATAATGAAATTGAAATCATTCACCATAGCTATATATGGTTTTTCCCGCTGCCTACAAGATCTTGTAGAAATATTCTCTGTACATAACTTATAGCAGTACGTAATCTGAAAGCCAATACTATATAGTTGTACAAACAAGCAAAGGCTAACAATGATATGGTGTGGTTGTATTCTAGAACCATCCTGAACCCTAGTACAACTATCCCAGTTAAAGGTACACACCATGGGTTTGAAAATCCCCAAAATGCTTATATTATATAATTATCTTTGCCATCTGCAGCTTCTCATAAAACCTTACATACAGTTTAAAAATGATTTAACCCCTCAAATTATTTATTTATTTATTTTTATATTCTGGAGCCTACCTGATGTTGATATTTCCACTGGAGCTAATAGGAAAATGGTTGCTGTTAGTATGACTGGCCAGTCATTTTCGCTAAAATCAGCCTACATAAATTTTATAAAAAGTAAAATCCAAGTGCAGAGAGGGGTTAGATAAATGTGCTGTGAGTATGAGAAAATAGCTCTTTTACCAGGGAAAATTAATTTGGCGGGTAAATCTAATGGACTGTACCTTAAAGTAATCAAATTTTTGCTTGCTGAGATAAGATTTAGGAGATGAATAGGAACTTTTTTTCCACTACCATATATAAAAGATTACCCAATTATATCAATGTTTGTTTATATCTGGATTAAATAAGACAAATACATAAATCACCTTGCCCATTACTCTTATATTTTTCTTGCAGACGTCTAAATTTAAAGAAATACTTTAAAGTCCACTTAGGTGTAAACTTGATGAGTAAAACCCAAAGGGTTATGACTGCATGAGTGACTTACTTATAAAACTATAAATATCTGGAAATCAAAAGTCACCTTGTATTTAAGAATTCCTAGTTACAAACGTCCTCATTTAAGGTTATTTATCACAGATCTCTTAACTAATGTCAAAGGTGATATTATTAGTTTAAGTCAGTAGAACCTGCCAACTCCCTATATCTCTCTCTTTTCACTTGTACTAATATCTTCAAACTGTGGTTCATTAGAGTTTAATTAGAAGAACAATTCTAAGCAAATAGGGTTACACAATATCCATAATTTGGCTTAGTAGAAGAGGACTGCCACAAAATGCCAGACTCTCATGCCCACTCCCTCTCCACCTCTCTCTCTCCCTTTCTCTCTCTCTCTCCACAGAAGTAGCCTCCTGAAAGCTGAAGGCAGTGACTGCATTGATGGCTGCCATCCAGGTCACTTTCCTTTGAAGTTGTCTTTCTCACGTCTAAGAAACCCCATCACTTCCACAGAGTCTGACTTCTTAGCATGCTGCTGTACACTTGACTCCCTGTGGTAAAACATAACAGCAACAATAACTATAATAATAATAATAATGATTGTAATAAAATCATATCATTAATACACACAAAGAAAAAAAACGAATATTTGCAATTTTTTACATGAATTTGTTCAACATGAGTACTTTTGCAACATCCAAAGTGTTTGAAAGGTTGGAAATAAAATATTCAAAATTGAAAAAAATGTTTAAAATTTGAAGGAGGCAATTCAGTTCACCAAATATTGCCACAAAACTCAATGAAATTTAAAATCTATCTTGTTTCTGGGTTGTCACATTTTCAAAGCTTTACTTACGTTACTCTCATGAATGGATTATACTGGAGTTCTTCTGCAATTGTTGATGGAACTGTGGGTTCATTTTTGCTCCTTTGGCTCTAAAATTATATCATGCATCTTTGAAATAAAGTTTTAAAAAGACAAAATGTGTAAATTTATAGGTGCACAGTGCCACGGTCAAGGATGATTTCAAATACGTTACATTTTTGGCAAAAATAAATAAATAAATAACATTTTTTACATATTTTGACCAAATGTGGTTATGGCTTAATGTAATTTACAACTTGTACATAAATCTCATGACTCCTTCAACTAATTTTAACGATGCATTTGTAGTCAAAATTTTGCCATAAAAACCAAACAAATGCGGCCATATAGTTTCCATTAGCATAACTCAAAGAAAACCCAAAGGGCATTGTTTCATATTTCTTGAAAAATGATATTTAAACATTCTGAATTTGGCGTATGAAGTTTTAAAATTCTTTTATGGTTGACCTAGCAATTAATTTGGCATAAATGCCTCGGCATGTCGACTTTATTTAAGTCATATAATAAACTAGCAGAAGTGGTTTTCATGCAACAAAGGGAATCCTCACTTGCTTCATATATAACTTTAAACATTTGACACAAACATGAGTATCATGTGACTGTCATGTGACCAGCTCAGTACAGTGTACACCCACCTGTGCCCAGGCCATTTTAGAGTTCACTGCTTCACTGTTGGGTTCCACATGCAGGGCAAACTTCAAGTTGCTGACAGTGTACTCGTGGCCACAGTAGACTTTCTGGAATGAAGACAATAAGGGATCATTATCGATGAAACTCTTGTTCTACATGTATAGATAGATCCAAGTTCATTGGGACTCTTGCTGAATGCATTCAGATTTACAGATTAACACATCTATTATCATCTATAATCACTAGCTTTTCTGTGTTCTGCTTGAATAGTGTATTGTCACCTTATTACGTGTGTGTGTGTGTGTGTGTGTGTGTGTGTGTGTGTGTGTGTGTTTGTTTTCACGAATAAATAAAATTAATATGATTAAAAACAATAAGAAGTCTCCACCATTACAAAATGTCACCCTCTGCCAGTAAGGTCTTAGGGCAAACAACTTCTATGTTTCACAATTAATATCTTACTGTTTCATGGGGCAGCTTTGCCAGTGTTTCCACCAAAGCATGGTGCATTTCCTTGGCAGTCCCTTCAAAAAATTTACCACAGCCAGCTACAAACAGGGTGTCACCTGGAAAAAATGTAACATCATTTGATTTCAAAAATGGTACATTGAAATTGTTTCAGTTGAAATGAAATGAAAGGTCAGAATTATGAAGGAAGCAGGGTAAGCTGTGTAAGGCCCCTATTTCACACAGACCACGAATCCCACGAATTGCCAGGAATAGACAAATTTCAGGATTCGTGAGATTTTGCCAATTTTCTGGTCTAATTTGACACGCTCACGATTCAGTTACGATACAGGTGCGATAGTGTCACGAATATTTGTGGGATTCGGCTGGCATCGTGAGATTTTGCCAATTTTCTGGTCTAATTCGACACGCTCTACGATTCAGTTATGATACCGGTGTGATAGTGTTACGAATATTCGTGGGATTCGGCTGGAATTGCACGAATATTGTCCAGAAATTCACTACAATTTTTTGGAATCGGGAGTTTGTGGCCAAAACTTTGAACAGTTTAAATTTTTTGCCAAGAATTCCCGATTGATCAAGAATTGTAAGAACTGACTACGATTATATACGAATCTGTTAAGAATTTTACGAACCGATTACGATTCAACCACGAATCCTGAAATTTCAATTCCTGGCGATTAGTGGGATTCGTGGTCTGTGTGAAATAGGGGCATCAAAGTTTTTGCCACCAATTCCTGTTGGTCAAAAATTGCAAGAACTGACTGCAAATACTTACAAATCTGTTAAGAACTTCACGAACTGATGACTATTCAACCACGAATCGTGAAATTTGTCAATTCATGGCCATTCGTGGGATTCGTGGTTTGTGTGAAATAGGGGCATAAAAGAGGGAGGGTCCAGAAAAGCATTTTCTTGTATGAATTCCTTGTTACACAAAACACTAGCTATCTAAAATGTGAATCAATAATGGATCAGTTTTTACAAGATATAAAGGAGCAACAATGCACTTATTGTACAGTGATGGCTATGATTAAACATTTTGGAGTCTATTTCAGTAAAACACCACCATGACAATAATGCCATCATGGGTCAGATTAATCAGCTATCAGCATGTAAGTAGGCAATGTACCCTTAGACATAATCTGACAACAGACATTATATTTTGGATTTTTTTTTTAATTTGTATAACTCATATATAAATATCACATGAATTAACAGATATATCAGCCAGAGAATATATACTTAAAATACAATAAGTAAGAGAACGTTTTAATAGCCAAATAAGTCGTTACTACAAAAGTATAAACAACACAAGAGTAAAATACTGCAGGAATTAAGAGATTTATCACGTGTGAAAATAGGCTCAGCACCACTTGGTCCTGTAAAAAGCATATACCCCCTAGAAGTACATGTACAATACCTGTGAAGACAGCAGGCTCAGTCCCACTGGGTCCTGTGACAAAATAGCAGATGTGTCCAGAGGTGTGACATGGAGTGAAGAGACATTCCACATTCAGGTTTCCTATCTGAAACAATATAACACAGGTTTCCTATCTGAAACAATATAACACATTTGGTTATAGAGTATAATAAACAGTATAATATTCAAATAAAAAAGAACTAAGACATACAGAATATAGATTTAAAATCTTACATTTAAAACTGAGGAGTGTTGTTCCATTTTAGATACAACTTTTATGCCATTTCTTGACTTTAGGGGTAAATAGGTCCACTGTTTTAGACCCACCCCCTTGAAATCCCTGGCTATAGGGCTGAACAGACTGACAGACAAGCAGACAGACAGGCATAAAATACTCAGCAAACCTGAAACTTGTCTCCATGCGTGACTTTATTGGTCAGTGCCCCTATCCTGCTGTCTCCTCCATATACTGTTAGCTTACCACTGGCTATCTTCACCAGCTCCTCATTTCCCCCTGCATGATCCCTTAAACATAATTGACCAGAGCAACATGATATATTAACTAATAATCAATATATATATATATATAATACTATAATAATTATACATAGAAATGTACCTAATGAATGATGCGGTAGGCCCTGTTCACAACCAGCTGATTTTCAGACTAACTAGTCCCTAGATCAAATATGGTTTGAGCAGTCAGAGCAAAGTCGGTTTGACCAGAACAGCATGACGAATATGTATAATACTAAATAGAATTGTACCTAATGTATGAAGTGTATGACCAGTGTATACACAGACTGACTAGAGCAAATATTGAAAGCATGCCAAGATTTAATTGCTCTGCCATTACGGGGACAATGCGGGAGGGAGGTAGAAATTCACTGTCAAGACTTGCACACCATATTTAATCTGTGGACTAGTTACTGTAGTCTGAAGATGAACTTATTATGAATGTGACCTCACATTCACTCACAATATATATATATATATATATATATATATATATATGTATATATATATATATATATATATATATATATATATATATATACACATGTAAATGAACAAATGAAAAAATGGTAATTTTTTATATTATAATGTTAAATGTTGATAAACAAACCCCAATGAAGGAACTCGTTCTTTAATAACGAGGATCTGTTCAAAATGAATTTATCAACCTAGCTTTTTCCATTGAATAGATTACAGGAAAGCTGGTGATTGTATCGGTACAAAGATGTTGGAAACAGGAAGAAGCGTGTCAGTCTGTCAATATGATTGCATTCAGCGAGTCTCTATTAGCTGAGTGCACATTAGATAGTTGGATAAATTCATCATGAATGGGTTCTAAAGTACACTGAGATAATTTTTTTTTAAGTTGCAATAAGAAGAAAAGAAACCCAATGTTAACCTCACCAGTGGTGGTGTGTGGTCAGAACAGAGGTCAGCTTGACACCAGCTTTATTTACAGCTTCTAGTATCTGGAATTATTATTATGATAATAATAAGAAGAAGAAGGACAACAACAGCAGCAACAAAACAACATTAGCAACAATAATAATAACAATAGTAATATTTTCTTAAATTAAATCTGCTTACCCTAAAAGTATCAAATCTGACTGCTTAAAATTCTATTAAAAGCTTTATTTTAAACCTTTGCAAATTTGCACAACAATATACTACTGGTGCACAGTACTCATTTACCCTTCTTTGTTCAGTATCACATGCCATTAAAAGCTCCCCAAATTAATTACATGTCATAGTACCTTCTTAGGTTCTACAGGGTCCACAGCAGCACATTCCTGTGTCACCTCGTCCACCAGGAGATACATGTAGTTGTCCGAGAGCGCGGGGACCAGGAGAACCTTCATGTCTGCTTGTGTCACTTGGAGAGACTTGGAGTGGTAAGATCTGGATGACACCAAGGACAGGGTAGCTGGGGACACAGAGACAGTGGGATATCAGACACAAATGATCATGGTTTGATGGTAAACATGCGNTGGCTGGGGACACAGAGACAAGTGGGATATCAAACACAAATGAGCATGATTTGATGGTAAACATGCCCAAATTGCATGTGCATGTGTAACGTATAGATAAAACTTGTACTGGGCATAGTTTCTTTACAAGTCAGATTTGAATGTGGATGATTTGTTGAATTTATGGAAGGACGTACCTAAAACACGGAACAGCGGAACAACGGAACAGACTAAAATGCGGAACATTGTTACTGTGGAACACACGACGCAGGAACGGAACAGCATAAAACTTTAAACTTTATTCATTGTAACGTATGCATCTACATGAATAGATGAAAACGTACAAAGGAATGCAAATATATATAAATATGAATTATGATCAATAGTGATATTGTATGACTCCTTGTATGAAAAATACAAAACATATTTGGCAGAGCCCAAATGGCTCTACCTACTCAACTGGTTATGGGTGCAGCACAGTCCCTTTTTTGGAAGGCTAACCATAAATACTTGGCAAGAGCATTAATGTGTTCGTTCTTCTTACCAGTCATTAGTGTTTTAAATTTATCCATTCTGGTAAGGTGCTCAAAGTGACTATGTTGTTTTTTGTATATTGAATAAAGATCATATCGAAGGTCTGTATAAAGGGGGCATGACACTAGGAAATGGATTTCATCTTCTATTTCACCAGAATGGCACTTTTTGCAAATTCTGTCAGCTTGGGGAATTTTATCATGTCTACCTGTTTCAATACCTAGGTTGTGTGCACTTATGCGGAATCTGGTTAAAGTGGTGCATTTATCTCTATCTTTAATTGTGTCTAAGTATCTTTCCTTCACACATTTGTTCTTGTATTGACAATAAACTTGTAATTTGGACTTGGTGTTAGTTATGTCTCTCTGCCATTCTTGTGTTATTCTGTCCCTGATTCTTTCCCTAAACTGCTGGATAAAGTTTTTATCATATCTTTGGCCTAGCCACACATCACCAAATCCATTCTCAAAAAGTATTTGTCTCACACCTTCGCACCATGACATGTTTTCCTGCTTTATCTCTGTAAGGTTGGATGTGTTTAAAAGTTTGTAATTTTCTATTTCATCTAGGTAGGCCTGTTTCAACAAACTATTATCTTCCGAGTTTAATATTTTTTGCCAAAATTTTATAAGTTGTGTTTGGATTTTAAAGGACACTGGTAGCCTACCGAGTTCTCCTCTGACAGCTTGGTTTGTACTTTTAGAATGTACACCTAGGAGTTCTTTACAAAAGCGTAAATGGATTTTTTCTACCGGAGATTTGTCGGTGATTCTAGAGGAGCCCCAGACTTCAACAGCATATGTAGCCACCGGTATGATCATAGTGTCAAATAATTTTTCTTTAAGTGAGGACAATATACTACTACAGAGTGGCATATAACTTTTCAGACTAAAGAGCGCTTTCTGTGCCCTTTCGTATAAGTTCAGTTGAGCAGCTGTGAAATTACCTGATCTTGTAAAGAGAATACCAAAGTACATGTAACTGGGAACTATTGTTAACTGACTGTTATAGAGAAAAAATTTTTCTTTGCACTGCACCTGGTTGTTCTGTACCTTTCCCTTGCTATTGAAGATAATAATTTTTGTTTTTGAAAGATTTATAGAGAGTCTCCATGTAAAACAGTAAGCTTCAATACGGTTAAGACTGTACTGTAAACCAGAGGCACTAGTTGACAGCAGTACAAGATCGTCCGCATAGAAGAGACCTGTGACGGGTTTGTTGTTTATTATGGGAGAATCGCTTTTGACATCATCAATGAGCTTTAACATATCATCCACAAATATATTAAATAAAAAGGGGCTGAGAGTGTCTCCCTGCTTGACACCTTTCATCGTTGGAAAACAATCAGTTAAGCCACTGGAAGTTTTTACACAAGCTGTAGCCTGATCATACATTGATCGAATGTTGGCATAGAACACTCCCCCTACATTGAGTTTCAGTAATTTATAGGGGAGACCTTTCCTCCATACACTATCAAAAGCTTTACTCATATCTACAAAGCAGGCATATAAACGTTTCCTAGATCTTGTTAACTTTGTGACTATAGATTTCAGGACAAATAGGTTATTGGAGGTGCTATGTCCTTCCATGAAACCAGTTTGGTTGGGTTGAGGGACACTCTGTTGTGAGCATATCTTTTTCAGTCTTGAAAGCAGAATGGAATTATATACTTTTCCTACACAACTTGATATAGAGATACTGCGGTAATTGTCTACATTACTGGGATCACCAGATTTATGGAGGGGAACAATGAAACTTTTATTCCATATTTTTGGGTATTGTTTACTCAAAAATACTGCATTGAATAGTTTATGCAGTACCTGTACTATGATTGCCGTACTCGCTTTCAGCATTTCATTGGTGATTCTATCTTCACCCGGAGATTTGCCTGTCCCTAGAGTTTTGATTTGCTTAAGTATTTCAACCTGTGTTATTTCATGATCTAAACTGTCAAAATTTGCATTTTCAGCCTCTTTAACTGGCAACTGAGACTCAAGCATTTGTTTAAAGGTGTCGTCATATTTGCCTAAGTCAGCGCTGCTGCTGAGTTTTTTAAAATGTTCAAAAAATGTTAGCGGATCAACATGTTCTGTAGAATTTGATTTGTTTTTACTAGTGTTTAGATCTTGTACAGTTTGCCAAAAAGCCTTTGGATCTTTCCCTTCCATATTTTGAAGTTTTTCGAGGAGGCTCGCCTTATATTCATAAGAGGCTTTTTTGCAGGTTCTTTTGTATTTATTTAGGGATTTATAAAAAGTCCCCACCACAACTGGGTCATTTGGGTATTTACTTCTAGATTTTGCTAAAGTTTTTAGTTCTTGTTTCATTTCTAGCAGAGATTTTGTGTACCACACTTTTTTTCTTACTGACCGTTTCCTTTTCAATTGCCTAGTGCAACAGAGTGATTTGTCTGCTGCAGATTTCATTATGGCGTTAAATCTAGTTACTAATGTTTCAGGGTTACTGGTTTCATAAAATTTTGAGATCAGTTGTTGGCTTTCTACGCTGGAGAGCGCACTTAAAAATTTTTCACCTGAGTCTTTTGACCACCTATATTTTGATGGTATAGGATGTACGTTGCTTGTATGTGAATTTTTCTGGGTAATATGACAGGGTAAGATGTATTGAAGTAGGCAATGATCTGAGTAAGGGGTCAGGTCCTCTACTTTAAAGAACAAAATACTTCTAGCAAGTTCGGAGCTACACACCACATAATCTACTGTGCTGCACCCATTAGGCTGGTAACTAGTGTACCTTCCTACCAGATCTCCTATTTTTGTTCCGTTTAAAATTCTCACATTACAAGTTTTGCATAAGTCCAGAAGTTTCTTTCCAAAATCGTTCACCTTGTGAGAGTCCATATTGTTTCTAAAACCTGGTAAATCACAGGAGTAAAACCCATTAGCTATGGGTATATGATTAACAGAGTCCTCCTGCACAAAGTCTGGGTGAACATTTGTATAGGCATTAAAATCGCCTTGAACAATCACATGAGAACTGTTGGCAACTTGAGTTATTTCCTCGTGGAGAGAGTCAAACATGTCTACATTGGTGCGTACACTATAGCTAGAGTTTGCTGGACTGATATATGCAGTAAGTAGAGTGATATCCTTGCACGTATGAAAAAAAGACTTTTTAAGTTTAATACTAAGGATGTTTTCACTTCTACATTTTAGTTTTTCTATACCAGCACTAATGCACTTTTTAACAAAAACTAACAATAACAATATCGGTCCTCTCTACAATCCAATTCAGGAAATGACGTAACCGCAGAGGTCGCATTGTCCAATGGCATAGCTTCTTTTTCGTAATGGTAGGTTAGAGAGGACCGATATAAACATCAGAGGTGGAATTTTGATTTACGGTTTGATTGATGCACGGAATTTACAAACGAGCGACGGGATGATGTAGCCTGCAGTATTTGCGGTAAGCGTGCCAAGTTTTAGGCCGCTCCGATGCCCGGCAGTATTTTATTTAGATTATTATGTTTAAAATTGTGGCTTCTTGTTTCAGAAGCTTATTCTATTTTATTGTCTCTATGGAGGTATATGGGGACTTTACGACATTCGGTTTGAAGGCTTTAACCACTTGTTATAGTTTATTTTTGCATTGTATTGGATTAATGTGGCAGTGTAAGGTTGTCCTAGGTGGTTTTCAAGTTTATGCACCGGGTTTTAATATCATTTAGCGATTTTACGACAACCGTTTACTATCCAATCAAGGTGACAGCCGAGCGTGGTACATTCCAACACCCTATTTGTAGACTTTCCAACGAAGCTGTCTTTTTCATTTTGTCTTTTTTCTGAATAGATAACATACCCGGCGTCTCATTGACTAGTTTCTATCCTTGTAGTATCCAACTGAATATAAATGTGATCCCGTATGACACAACTTTTTTGTATGTGACCTATACTCGTTGACACGCTGAGACATCCTTGGCATTTTGTGAGCTGTATGTCCAGAATGCCATCTCCTTGAATCTGGTTTAATGGGCCTGTATAGGTGTTGGTTTGGTGTGAAGAAGCGATTGCTATCATTCAAACATTCAATATCATCCTTTCTGAGACCTAACATATGCTTTGTGTGTAGAATTAGTCTAGGAAGGCCACAGCGATCATTTAGATGAACGACGGAACGTTCATAAAAGACGGAACGTTTAATTGTTGTGACTGCTGGCTTGCGGAACCAACAGTGCGGAACGGCCTAAGAAAACAAACGCTCCAATAACAGCCAAAGAAAATTGTGACGTCACAGATAACTTAGACTATTAATAATTAAATTATCAATTACAAGTAAACAAAAATCTGAAAATCTGAGAAATGTCAGCGCTATAGTGCACAGCTCTATTCGGCGGGTGTAAGGCAATAAATAGGTACATAAGCAACAGTCACCACACAAATAACAATGCCTCACAGCCTTCAGTTTAACGAAATGTAAGTTAAACATTATGTACATGTACTCTAAAGATAAAGTTAAAACTTGCAGTTATCGTGCTTATCAACATAGATACCGGTATAACTTTACACCTGTACGATGCGATATTAAGATCTGCCAAAAAAAAAAAAAAGAGAGAGAAAATGTCTGGTGAATACCACCTGCTTTGAGTTGTCCAAATATCACTCCTAGTCTACCTGTGCTCTTAAGTGAGTTAGCAAACATAGGATCACGCCACAGTTAGCCACACACAGTATATATTGATGCCGATATAGGTCACGAGAAATCTAGGCCACTGCGCAGCCGCTTTCGATCATGTTCAATTTGCTCACCAGAGGGCAGTCAACTCATCAAATGAGACAGTAAAAGCGCGGACTAAAAGCTATTTTATTGCGTCTAATGCTGTCTCCTTTTTTGATCGCATACTTTCACTAAGCCTTCTTAAAATAACTCATTTGTGTGGTAAAAAAATCTCAACTTTATCTTCCTACGTTTCGTCTTGGCATTTTAAATCACGTGATTTGGAAAGAGAAAGTAACTGAGAAAAGTATTAGAAAGAGGAACAGACATGAACGAAGAACTTATCTGCCCTGTTTGTTTGGAACTTTTCAAAGACCCTATTTTGCTCCCCTGCTCTCATAACGTCTGTCGTGAATGTATGTGGGAATGGATCAAGCACGGGGATGGAAAAGGCAGCCTGGCAGGTGGGGACGGAGCAGCTGCAACAACAGTCCCTGGAAACACCACTGTCACCTGTGCTGATCAGTTTGTGTCGGCAAAACGTTTCCCGAAAAAGGGCAAAACTCCACTGAGCTTCACCTGTCCGTCTTGCAGAGTAGTTCACAAGTTGACCAAGAAAGGGCTTGACGAGTTTCCTGTTAACCGCGCGCTTCGCAACATTGTTGAAAGTTATGAAAAAGAAAAAGCTAACGCAACCAAAACACAACTAGAATCAAAAGATGTACATGTACATGTAGCAGAGGCCAGCAGGCGACAGATGCAAAGCAAAGACCAGCAACCTTCGGAGTTTGAAGGTGTCACCAAAGATGACATATTGTGTCATTTTTGTGAGGGTCAACCGACCAAGGCCACCAAAGGATGTCAACAGTGTCAGATGTTCTATTGCGATGCCTGTTTTGTCAGTGCGCACCCGCTAAAGGGCCCTTTTGCCTTACACATCATCAAAACTTCTGAGGAGCTTAAAAACACCAGGCCTCAACCAATGTGTAAGAAGCACAAGAAGATGTTAGAGATTTTCTGCACCCAGTGTATTATTCCAGTGTGCCATCTCTGTGCTCTTGTGGGTGAACACAGTGGGCATAAGTTTGGGGAAATTGGCATGGAATTTCAGAAAAAGAAGGTATTTTGAAACATCATTTGCCATAATGTGTCTGCGCATTTAACATGTATGCAAATTAAATGTTCATGTTCATATATCAGTGTTAGCAGACTTTGGCTACATGTACATGTACTCTTCAGTACTATTAAGACATTGGGAAACAGTTGGTCCAACCATTCATGACTTCTTGAAGAACCAGAGGACCAGCAAAATTTTTGAGAATATAGATCCTCTAAACCAGCAAGAGTTATGTGAAACAAAAAATTGAAATAAATCGCATGTAAACATAGGCTAATGGAAAAAACACTTAATTAGTTCTGACCACCACCGAATTTGGTAGACGTGAAGATTTCTTGTACTGGGGTAGTGCAGATCTTCACCTTCCCCCATGTCTGAGATATTTATTATATAACATATTTCATTGCTACAAATTGGTTTTAGTGTGAGCAGTGGATCAAACCATTTTTTATTTTGTGTCAAGACAAAAAAAGTCTTATCTGCCTGCTCACTGTGTCTGACCATGTTAATGCAGTCACCATCTGACACTGGTGTTCACCTTAAAACTAAGTAAGGGCCCAGTGGTTGACGTATATTTGTTTCTTTATGTCCAGTCTATATCTGAAACATATTGAGTAAAACATGCAATCATTACCAGTTATATGTTTATAATTTCAGTCAAATGCACAGACATATCTGACCAGACTGGAAGAAAGGGAACAGAGATTTCTAGAGGAAAACAGGATTCTGGAAAATGGCTTAAAGAAAACAAATGTTTGTATCTTTTGTAAAATATTGCTCCAGAGAACATGTGGATATGTTAGAATTTGTAAATTTTTACTCGTAAGCTGCATTAAAACTTTTTTTTTTAAATTGTAATGCTAACAATCTTTTTTAGGAAAACTGTGATAAACTGTGTGAGAAAGTGAAAAGAGAATGTGCGGGGATAATTCATCGAGTTCAGAGTAAGGAACTTGAGATGATCTCTGAACTAAAACAGGTGAGAAGGATTCTCAGCCCTGTAGCCCTTGGGGGAGGAGTCACTGAGAGGGAAGGGGGATGAAAGATCAAGTTTTTTTTTTTTTTCGACTGGAAGTTAAATGTCTACAAACAATGATAATTACTCGATCTTTTTTAAATACTGCATTTTTTTAAGTCATAAATTCTTGAAATAAGAACATTTCTTTTGAGCAGTAGCTGCATAAGTGAAAAGCAGACCACTTAAATTGTTTTTCTGTTCTGTACAGTAAAAGAAATACAGGTGGTACAAAGTGAATCCTTAACAGACTTCATGCTGAACTTCAACAAATTGTGAGTAGAAAATAAAATCAGTAGAGCTGATTTCCAGGATGAATCAGTTAAGTTGAAGAAAATCGAACAGGCGAAGTTGGCATGTGGCTCAAAGGCAGCTACAACTGGTGATTTGGCAGAAATGACAAGAAAGATTCTTGAGGAAGAAGACCCAGTGCATTTTCTTATGGTAAGTTTTAGAAAACTTAATATTAATTGCATCTCCATTATCAAAAAAAAACAAAAAAAAACTTAAACTATTAACCTTATGTAACCACGCATAGAGATTTTTAAGTGTCTTAATTAAACACTGCACACAGAAAAATAAAACAACTCCTTGATTAACATTTATTTTGTATTTTAAAAGGGAGCAGACATGCACTTTCCTCCTCATCCAACATCAACCATCTAGATTTTACATTCAACTTTTGTTTTTAGTTGAAATATCAGCCAAAGATTGTCAGCATGTTATTGATTCTTTCTAGGCACAATAAATTATTGTTATGATATGTTTCTATAGTTAATGGCTACAAAAATATAATATGATAAAATGTAATTATTGGATAAGAAGCCAAGCTATTCAAATATTAGCTAGAGCCAACATGTATACTATCAGTTTCTCATACAATCCTCCTTTCAAATGGATCCTGACACCATATGCTTACAGTAACTGTTTGTAAAATATGCTATATGGCTAGAACACAATAAAATAATTAATTTACTTTGCATAAAGTTATATTAACTTCTCATCTAAAATTTCTTTTGTTTGTATGTATTTCTGTTGTGTAAAAAAAAAAGAAGTTTCAATATTTGTTTCATTTTAGGAATATAAGTCTGTCTCTTCAAGGTTTGTATTTTACATATTTATACTCTTGATTTTTGTAACAACCTGTATATAACAGGTAAAGCAATAGACTCTCTGATGATCTTCTGGTACAAAATACCTTGATAATGTTTATGCAATCTTTTGATGTTAAAGCAATATCAGTTAGCATAGTATAATCTTAGTCTGGTGAGAAATGGCACGACTAAATATCTGCATGCCCATAATACTGGGTAACAACAATGGGTTATCATCTTTGAAAGTCTGTCAAAATACTCCTATGTGTTGAATTACAATGGGGGTGTTTTCATGTGAAAGGGGGTGGATTTCTCTTACTGACAAACAATTTTGTTTTTCCAAACATTGCTTTGTATTTTTAACTTTTTAATTTTTTAGCCGAAAATGATACTAAAACAACTCTGGGGCACTGACATACAGTACCAGCTAGTCTGTTAATATTGTTTTCTGTCATATTTAGAGCTGAACAAGAGCTTTCTGAAGGGGTGCAATCCATGAATTTGTTTGCAGATGAAGTGTCAACATTCAAAAAAGATTTTAAAATCCAGACGGAATTTGTCACGATGCTTCAAAAAACACTGGAGTTGTCTGAAGGTACGTGTATGACTGAATTGTTTTGAATGAAATATTTTAAGTAAATCCATTCTACTGAGGTAAAATTTTTGTCACAGTGTAATACCAATGAAATAGGCTTCAGGTCCATGAGGGTTCAAGTTCACACTGAAAATGCCAAAATAAGAAAAATAAGAATTCACAAAAATTTACATAAATTCAGTTAAAAAATTATAATCCAATAGAGCGGGTTTTCTAATAGAGCTATATGTCAAATTTCAGAATCAATCTTATAAGTTGAAAAAACAATAAGTAACNAAAGAAATACAGGACTAAAATGCAGCCTGAGTTGGAAAAGCAGTCTAATTGGCTTCTTTTTCTGGAAGTTATACATTTTCAAAGTGTGAACTTGAACTGCCATGGGCCTGAAGCCTTATGCTTGTTACACATTTTACTTACATTGGTATTACCTGTTGAGCATAATTTAAATTTGATGTTGAATTTGCAGTTTAACATAATGTACTTTTGCATCAGAATTGACAGTAGCCTATTTTGTGCATAGTTATTTCCTGCTTTTTGTCTGTACATTTGACAGCTTTGCTGCCTTGTTAATTATCTACCATAAATATCATGGGCATTTAGAAAATTAGATTACCATTTGGCTTGATTCCCATTCTTTCAGCATATTTTATCCACCATTATACAGATAACTTGAAAACCATGTAATATTTTGCTAGGCTGCGTTCACATGAAAAATCTATTTTCTAAAAATCTATTTGCAATATCTTGTGATCACGGTCTGTGCCCTGAATACCCCTCGGTGTAATTACTGGCAGCGCCAAGAATTAATTACAGCTTTGAAAGTAACTGGCTCGCATTGCCCGTAATTACGCCGTGGGGTATTCAGGACACAGACCGTGATCACAAGATACCACAAATAGATTTTTAGAAAATAGATTTTTCATGTGAACACAGCCTTAGTCTGATTCATAGGACGAATATATAGATCAAGTTTGAAAATAAGCTTGATCAGTCCAGTTTCGGTTAAGTTATGCCTTTTTTTTTTCGTATATATTTTGTTTTTCCTAAGATTCAATTTTTAGGCATGTTAACAGTGTTATTATTGAACTAATTAGATATGTTAAAGTGTTCTATTGACATTCTCTGCATCTTAATAATATTGTTGATTATATGAATATGATGGTAAATCTGTCTTTGTTTGTTGTGTTATAATGTGTCAATAATGGAAATAACTCATACATGTATCATTGCAGTTTGTCATATTCAATCCTTCGCTTTGTTCAGAATCTCAGAATGAAGCAATTGGACATTTAAAATTGCTATGTTGATATTTTTTTCCATCTCAGCAATTTTTTTGGTCGATCATACAACAATGATAGTAAATTGGTTAGTTTGTATCTTATACAAAAGTTTTGAAAATGGAAGTAAACTCATTTCATTAATATTTTTTTGTGAAATTTTAATTTTTTCACAAATTGGCATTTTTAAGGTGTGACTTACAACTTCCATGGGCTTGAAGAACTTTGCTAGTCACATTTTTGAATACCCATGATACTTTTAGTATATTATGAAAAATAGTTGGTGATTATGCTGTTAATTAAGCATTATGTAATATTGCATTAAAATTGAAGAAGTACTTTTTTGGGAATTGCCGCAATACAGAAGATTAAATGAAAAACAATTTCTTATGATTCTCAAACCTACTAAAAAGATTCATGGGACTGAGATGTATCTTGAGTATGATTGCATTTTTTTTCTGTAAGGTATGCAGTTATTTGTGAATTTTTTTTCAAATATTGGCATTTATATTGCGGGACTAAAAACTACCACAGGCATTCTGTCAAATGGTATTGACATTTTGTGAATGTCAGTGTTTTGTATAGTACATGATTAAAAATTAATGGTGATTATGCTGTTAATCATTATGTAATATATTGCATCAAAATTGTCAAAAAACTTACTTTGCCACCACAAACATTTTGCTAGGAAAACTGTTACTTATTATTTTGTGATTCTTTGGAGTGACAAATTGGAAAACCAGCTAAATTGATAGGTTATCATTATTATTATTAAAATGTATGAATTTTCTGTGAAATTTTCATTTTTCTATTTCTGGCATTTTCAAAGTATGAACTTGAACATCAAAGGGCTTGAAGCATTGAGTTACTTACACATTTTTATGTACAGACACAGATGTGTCTGTACATATTGCCATCATCTGCGTCTGTCGTCGCCGTCGTCGCCGTGCACTTTTACCGATAACACGATAAGTGGAAAACCATTTTACCTTTTGACTTGAAACTTGCAGAACTGATGAATATTCATAATACGCAGGTCAAGTTCGAAAATCAGCATGATCGGGTCACTTTTAGGGAATTTATGCTGTTTTTTCACTTTTTTCAGCATATATGCAGCACCGATAACACGATAAGTGGAAAACCATTTTACCTTTTGACTTGAAACTTACAGAACTGATGAATATTCATAATACGCAGGTCAAGTTCGAAAATCAGCATGATCGGGTCACTTTTAGGGAATTTATGCTGTTTTTTCACTTTTTTCAGCATATATGCAGCACCGATAACACGATAAGTGGAAAACCATTTTACCTTTTGACTTGAAACTTACAGAACTGATGAATATTCATAATACGCAGGTCAAGTTCGAAAATCAGCATGATCGGGTCACTTTTAGGGAATTTATGCTGTTTTTTCACTTTTTTCAGCATATATGCAGCACCGATAACACGATAAGTGGAAAACCATTTTACCTTTTGACTTGAAACTTACAGAACTGATGAATATTCATAATACGCAGGTCAAGTTCGAAAATCAGCATGATCGGGTCACTTTTAGGGAATTTATGCTGTTTTTTCACTTTTTTCAGCATATATGCAGCACCGATAACACGATAAGTGGAAAACCATTTTACCTTTTGACTTGAAACTTACAGAACTGATGAATATTCATAATACGCAGGTCAAGTTCGAAAATCAGCATGATCGGGTCACTTTTAGGGAATTTATGCTGTTTTTTCACTTTTTTCAGCATATATGCAGCACCGATAACACGATAAGTGGAAAACCATTTTACCTTTTGACTTGAAACTTACAGAACTGATGAATATTCATAATACGCAGGTCAAGTTCGAAAATCAGCATGATCGGGTCACTTTTAGGGAATTTATGCTGTTTTTTCACTTTTTTCAGCATATATGCAGCACCGATAACACGATAAGTGGAAAACCATTTTACCTTTTGACTTGAAACTTACAGAACTGATGAATATTCATAATACGCAGGTCAAGTTCGAAAATCAGCATGATCGGGTCACTTTTAGGGAATTTATGCTGTTTTTTCACTTTTTTCAGCATATATGCAGCACCGATAACACGATAAGTGGAAAACCATTTTACCTTTTGACTTGAAACTTACAGAACTGATGAATATTCATAATACGCAGGTCAAGTTCGAAAATCAGCATGATCGGGTCACTTTTAGGGAATTTATGCTGTTTTTTCACTTTTTTCAGCATATATGCAGCACCGATAACACGATAAGTGGAAAACCATTTTACCTTTTGACTTGAAACTTACAGAACTGATGAATATTCATAATACGCAGGTCAAGTTCGAAAATCAGCATGATCGGGTCACTTTTAGGGAATTTATGCTGTTTTTTCACTTTTTTCAGCATATATGCAGCACCGATAACACGATAAGTGGAAAACCATTTTACCTTTTGACTTGAAACTTACAGAACTGATGAATATTCATAATACGCAGGTCAAGTTCGAAAATCAGCATGATCGGGTCACTTTTAGGGAATTTATGCTGTTTTTTCACTTTTTTCAGCATATATGCAGCACCGATAACACGATAAGTGGAAAACCATTTTACCTTTTGACTTGAAACTTACAGAACTGATGAATATTCATAATACGCAGGTCAAGTTCGAAAATCAGCATGATCGGGTCACTTTTAGGGAATTTATGCTGTTTTTTCACTTTTTTCAGCATATATGCAGCACCGATAACACGATAAGTGGAAAACCATTTTACCTTTTGACTTGAAACTTACAGAACTGATGAATATTCATAATACGCAGGTCAAGTTCGAAAATCAGCATGATCGGGTCACTTTTAGGGAATTTATGCTGTTTTTTCACTTTTTTCAGCATATATGCAGCACCGATAACACGATAAGTGGAAAACCATTTTACCTTTTGACTTGAAACTTACAGAACTGATGAATATTCATAATACGCAGGTCAAGTTCGAAAATCAGCATGATCGGGTCACTTTTAGGGAATTTATGCTGTTTTTTCACTATTTTCAGCATAAATGCAACACTGATAACACAATATAAGAAAAACGGATTGGCCAATTGTAATTATACTCACAGGAGTGGTCAATCTTACTAAAACGCAGGTTGAGTTCGAAAATCAGCATAATCGGGCCATTATTTTAGAAGTTATACTGTTTTTTTCACATTTCCTCAGATTCAATTCTTAAGCATGTTAACAGTCTCATTATTTAACTAATAAGATGCCTAAAAGTGTTTGTTTGATATTTCCTGCATCTTTACAACATTGTTAGTTGATTATGTAAAAAACATGGTAAACTTGTTATCATGTATTGTGTAATAAAGTGTCAAAAATGGAAATAAACTCATATCATTGCAGTTTGTCAGATTCAATCATCCACTATGTTCAGAATCTCAGAATGGAGGAAATTGGACATTTAACACTGTTCTATTGATACTTTTCCCATCTCATCAATTTTCTTAGTTGGTCATATAAAAATGGCAGTAAAATGTTTATTTTGTTTTATGTTAAAAAAGTGTTAAAAATGGAAATAAACCCATTTCAGAACAGTGCTGTCTTGTTTACATTTTGGCATTTTCAAGGCGTGACTTTGAAGTTCCATGGGCCTGAAGACCTTTGCTAGTCACATTTTCTGAATATCTGTGAAACAAATATTTTATAATTAAAAATTGATGGTCATTAAGCTGTTAAACATTATGTAATATTGCATCAAAATTTGAAGAAACCCCTATTTTGGGCACTGCTTCCATGATGACCATTTAAGGAAAATCATGTCACTTACTGTTCTCAAACTTACAGGAAAGAAACATGGGACTAAAATACAGCTTCAGTAGGCAATGCAGTCTGTTTGGTATTTTTATTTATTTATTTATTTATTTTGGCAGTTAAACAGTTTTTTGTGAAAATTTAATTTTTCACATATTGGCATTTTCAAGGTGTGACTTTAAAGTTCCATGATCTTGAAGACTTTTGCTTGTCACATTTTCTGAATGTCCATGTTACTAATATTTTATTAATAACATTTGATTGTCATTATGCTGTTAAACATTATGTAATGTTGCATCAAAATTTGAAGAAACCCCTATTTTGGGCACTGCTCCTATGATGACCATTTAAGGGAAATCATGTCACTTACTGTTCTCAAACTTACAGGAAAGAAACATGGGTCTAACATACAGCTTCAATAGGCAACGCAGTCTGTTTGGTAAATTTTTCTGGCAATTTAACAGTTTTTTGTGAAAATTTAATTTTTCACTTATTTGCATCTTTATTTTCTGTTCTTTGTCTGTACATTTGACAGCTTTGCTGCCTTGTATATACATCCACCTGTTTTGCATAATTATTGGTATTTAATTTGCCATGATGCGTAATGTATTATTGCATCAGAATTGACAGTTACCAATTTTGTGCATCATTATATATTGTCTACTTTCTGTCCGTACATTATACAGCTTTGCTGATTTTTTAAAAATCTGACATATAATAATGCCATTGTAATTCCAAAAACAGGAAAAAAGAGGATCCAAATGCAGCGTCAAAATAAAAAACCGTCCTTGAGACGAAGCAGATATCTCGAAGAGTTGGAAGATGAACATGAAAATGTCAGATACATGTATTGGTCTGATGAAGAAACGGATCTCGAGTTTTAAGTTAAAGGACTCGCTGAGTCTGTTTTAACAGTTAATCCATGGACACATACAGCAGACATGGGGAAAATCCCACCACAGCAACTACATGTACTGTTACTCAAAGGCAATTATGCCATTTTCTGTAATGTTCAGTGTTTTGCTATGGACAAAAAGAGGCAAGTTTATAAATCACTTCTGCAATCAAGTCCATGTCATTGTATGCCTGCAGCATTCTAGATGAGAAAAAAAAAAGGACAGAAAAGTGATGTTAACTTGTATGCTACTTTCTGAGGCTAATTAAGACATGAGTGTGTATGACAAATTAAATTGAATTAGACTAAATTAGTGTAATTTTCATGTGCTCTCTACTGCATGTGCAAGTCTGCTAAGTTGACAAGTTAATACTCGTCTCAGTCGTCTGAATATATTTATTGTGTCTAGTAAGTTCTGGTACGGAAAGTAAAAATGTGCTGATAATTGACATAGATATATATAAATAAATATATACACACTAGTTCATATAACACCCAAATCCAATATAGAGGTACATTTCACATGCTGAAGTGTCAAAAAATAAAATTGAATGAATTCAAAGTTGTATTCAATTTTTTAAAACAGTCTATATGTGTATAGAACAAAAATCCACAACTGTCTCAATTTAAATTCAAATTTTTAATTTTTACCATGTCTTAATTTACATTACTCAAAGAGCCCTAAATGGTAACGTATGTTAATTCCCAAAACCTATGATAATGTATTAGTTCCAGGTCACTCAATTTTAATTTTTATACTGCGTCCAATGTATTTTGTATTGATTCAGTAATGGCAAATTATACATGATGTAAGGATATGCATTTTATAAATATTTAAACTGAAACTTAAGGAGCTTTGTATCATGGCTATACCCAGTTATACTATAGGTACTATGTTCCCCTGGGCCAGAAAAATTGTCAAAAAGTTTCATTTTGTTTAAGTACTTGGTGCAATGGAAAGCAGGATCCCCCTCACCCCCCACCCCCCAAAATCCGTCACTGCTTGATAATATCAATTTTACTTGACCAAAATTTTGATTATTTGATTGATGAAAACTGTTCTGATTTAAAATTCCCATAAAAATTTATCACAGTCTAAACAATGGTAATTGTTGCCGAAATGCTGCAACATGTACAAATATAGCTATGACAGCTCTTTTATATATATATATTGGATATCAAACCATGGATCGATGAACATGGGATCATGTTTAAATATTACCAAACGTAAAATGAATTCTCAATATCATTTTGAAACACTCGTTTTCTAATCTTGCCTATTATTTTTCGACATCGAGGCTAGCATAAGGAGGACGACAATCTTCTTGGAAAGGCAGGCTAGAAGGGGAATCCCCTTTTATTTCTATTTAAAGCAATGACGGAGAGGTTATCCAATCAAAGCTCGTGTTTATGTTGACGTCACGTGGCATGATCGAAGGACAGAGGGAACCTAAATGGCGGGACTGCAGGTGCCGTAGTCAAAACAACAGGTATTTACTCGAAAAGTCTACCGAATGCTTACCTTAATTGTAATGACAGTTTTGTTACACATTCGAGCATCTAATTATCTATGTGTTGTCAATTTATCTGTTTTATTACAAGGAAAATAGATGATTTTTGTGGTGGCAAATATGAAACTGATCGTCCATCTTGGATTCCTTGTTCCACACGGTCTTTGTTTACATAGGCGCTGCAATCTGTGGTTACATTCACTCGTTAAAACTTATGTTTTCTGAAGTTTTCCTTCACGATTAAAGAGAAATTGTTTTTGATTGCGCCTCCTCTTGTCACTGAAGTTATTAAAATTTTTCGTTTGTGTGTTATTTGAGTTTGATCAAGATCTTGAGAAGTTTCACTTTAGCCTAGGCCATTGTCACCAGGAAGTGGTCATAGTAGAATACTATTGTGACTTTTCTTCTTACGGTTTGATTTTATTAAATATCATCAGTTAATGCTAATTATTAGTGATAACAAATAAACCAAAGACATTGCAGTTACAACACGAAATTTTACATCTCGATGGAGATATATCTGTGGCAGCTTTAAGTATAGTATTTTATTTCACACTCTTTCAGGTGATTAGATTTTAACAAGTATTCACACGAACAGGACATTCATGTAGAGGAATTTTGTAGCCAGCATGCCCACCCCATACGGTAAGTTAATACAGCATTTATGTGATTGGTATTAAAAATAAAAGAATATTTATTCGCCAACTTAATTATTGTCTTGACTTTGTTTGTTAAACACATTGCACTACTGCAGTTACGCCATTTTCAGAAGTTTACTGTCTATTGCATGGAGAGGTTAAACAGTTTATAAAGATGACATATAGAACAGAGTCCAATTCACATCAGGTTTAGCTAAAACTTAACATTGTTTAAATTTAACCACGCAGATAGATCACAAGGACATGCTATGTGTAAATTGACTCCTGCAGGATTTTGGATAAAAATTCCTAAAGAAGTCTTAAAAGCCTTTTTGCAGGCTCACAAATCCCTTTGTTATAGTTGGCAACATTCCAATGATTTTGTACAGGTATCTATATAGGTCTACTAGTAGATAAAATCTTACAGACTAAATAAAGGGTAAATTAAATTTGTCATTTAATGCATTTTTGGTGGTTTTAATTTTAACCTATTAAAATCGATCTTATTAATCAGTATATATCAGTGTATATATATATATATATATTATTGATCACACAGATATAGAAGAAAAACAGATCTCACTGAAATGAAAATAACACATCCATTTAATTATATACAGAAAAGTGGCTGGTGCCAAAAGAATAATAAGTTGAACCTTCTGCTAGATTTTACTTTTTCACATTTATTTAGTCAAGCTAAATTGTTTTGTCTTGAGTAAACATTCATTGTGGTGCGACTTGTGAGTTTAGGATAAAAATCAATTGTTGTTTGAAAATGTGGCATTTGGAGTTGTTTTTTATTTGTTCACCAAGGCATGTGATTCATATCGATCGAAGGGCATTGCTGAGTCCATAGGTTATAGGAATATTGAGTTGTGATGCATTGAATGTGAGGAAGTCAATATGCTGATAAAAACTGTTGAAGAAAAAATATTAGACTTGCAGTGATTGGATGTAAATCAGCCAATAAGGCACAGTATACTACATGATGATAGGAGAAGAACTGTGAACCTGAATAAGGTTTGCCAGCTCTCAGCCAGTGGGTAATCAGTAATGATTGTTTTTACTTGATAAAAATTGACCCGAAGTGGTAGGCATTGTTTGTTGGTGAACAGGAAGCTAAGGGTCAAGTAACTAGCAAATGACTTTTTCATTTCTTGAATCAAACAATTTATGAGTAATCATCTTTTAGAATTCTTCCTGTTTCACTTTGAGAGTACATATTTGTTCAGTGTATTTGGGCAGTTGCCAACAGTAACAAAGCAGCTTTACAAGTCTGTATAGAGAATATTTTTACTTCAGGTGAATTTATGACTAAATTATTTTCAGTAGAATCATCTTATTAAAGAAAATAGGCTTAGGAAATAGAAAATAAATAAAATCAGGTGATCAGCCTGTGCAGGTTTGTTATTGTTATGGTTCACCTAGTAAATGTAGACAATGGCTGGTCTTGCTGTAGAAAGTACAGAATTTTACAAGATGAAAAAAATAAAAATTATAAAATTAATTATTAATTCAGTGGTTTTCAAATTATCACTTTGTAATTCCAGAATTAGAGTGTGATGTGGGCAGCCACACCCAAGACCCTCCCCAAATTGAGGGAGGTATGCCACCAAAGTTGATCCCTGGAGCAGAACCAGCACCACTACCTGGGGGGCTCATCTCAGACCCAACAGGTGACCAAAACCTGCTGGCAGTTAAAGTGGCAGTTAAAGGACTCGTTGGTGGTGACTCACAAAATGAAAACCCCAGCGAGGCAATGGAGGTGGAGATTCAAGATGGTGGATTGGGCACCCAGGCAGATCAGTGTGAGGGCTTGGCTCCTAACAATGTACAGAGTCGTACCAGACCCTGTGGTTTCCCAGTGACGCCCCAGGCTCCAGATTTAACTGCCTTCAGCGAAGACACTCCTGTTGGGGCACCAGCAGATGGCAAGCCCACAAAGGCCCAATTTACAGAGGATGAAGAGCTAGAGGCAAAGAAGATGTTGATGATGGTTGAAAATGAACCAGTGGGACAAGATCTCTCCGCTGTAGCCAAGATTGTGATGCAGGGTGATAGTGAGGCTGCGATGGAAGATGGCAGTCAGATTGCTGAGGAGCTGGGTATAAACCTGGTGACCAATGAGAACCAGGAAGACATGGCGTCAGTTGGTAGGTGGCTGCCATTGATACAATGTTTCTTAATCAAGGTTCAAAGAGATTTCTTTAAAATTTAAAGAATAGAAATTCAATTAGGTAATATTTAACATTTGGCTTGAGAGTATACGGGTGTCAAATTTTGCTAGAAAAGACTTGACACCTTTCTTTTTGATCCCCATTCAAGTGTTGGATTCTTATAGTTCATCCAGTGTTATGCATGGGAGTCGGAGAAAGTAACAGGTGAAGTAAATGTTATTGTTTCATTTACAGAAGAAGTGTACAGTTGTCTTGGACAATTTGAAAGAAGAGTTGTGAGCAAAAAGAAAGTGCCAGGTGACGAAGAATGTTTATGTATTGTTGCTTATGAAAATTTGTTTTTGCTTCTATTACAGCTGACACATTAAGTGTAAGAGTAGTTGGTTGCCTCGGTCAGCTTGAAGGAGGCGTGGAAAGCATGAGCATCCAGGAAGCTTCTGGTGTGGTCAGCCATGGGCAAGAATTGGCACAGGTGGGACAAAGTGGAATGGCAGTGATTTAGTTGCTGTTACTTTTACTGTGAATGATGTTTTTTAGGAATGTTTTGAAACGGGTTTCATAATTAATTTTTACTAATTATGTAGGGGGGAGGTCTATTAAAATAAATTATGTTACTAAAACTATGGTTTAACTAGAAAATCAGAATGAGACTGAATAAATGACTGTTCTTTCTAGTTGATTGAATGATGTTGCTTTTTTGAAATCAAAGTATATGTATTACAATAAAAATGTATATTTGTTTTTAAGGAGCCTGTCACAGTGAGTTTGCAAACGACTGAAGATGCAGTTCAAGATAACCAACACCAGGTGTCAGCAGATGAAAGCCAAGTGGAGCCAGAAGCAAGACAAGCCAGCATTGCAGTCAGACCACAGTTTCGCAAGATGCACAGTATCCCATACACAGCTACTACAGAGTCCGCACAAATCCCTGAAACACCCATTCGACCTTCTATACAAGAGGGGACGGGAGCACAGGAATGCGTGGAACAGATGGGACAGGGATACTATGAGAGTATCATAAAGAAGATGGAGGAACTGGTCAACGATGCTGAGAAGCGTCGGGGGCTGAGTAGAGAAGTGTTACAACAACTGAAGAGGAGAGCAGGTAAATTGTAATTACTGATAAATGATAGGGAAATACTTTTCACTTGTATCAAGGTTACCAAATAGCAACTTAACTTTGTATATTCCTCTAGGATTAAAAATGTAGATGTACATAGCCATGATGAAGTGAAAAAAGGTTTTACTTCAAGTTGTAATTTGTGATTTTAGCTTCTGAAGAGAAAAATGTTTTCATTTTCTATGATGCTGTCATTGGTTTTAAGTTACTTGAGCACTTTCTGATGTATTACATATATTATTTCAGATAACATCTCAAAGCATTTAAGTGGCCCCTATTTAGATGAGGTTTTGCTGAAGGAGAGCCATAAACTAGATTTGATACTGAAAAAGCTGAGCCAAAGCTTGGAGCTCACAGAGAGTGACAGTAAATGGCTGTTTGATATAGGTATGATAGAGTTTTTGCTTAAATCAGATGATTAGACTTGGGGTGGAACAGACATGTGAAAAGAGATAACTAGATTTTTAAGCGTGAATTTGCACCGATTGATTGCTGAGAAATCAGTAAATTAGAATAAAGTAGCAGTTAGGTTTTATTTCAGATAAATACTTGAATTTTTTATTTATTTATTATTATTATTTTTTTTTTTTTGAAAGCTTGAATATTGTTTTTCTGGAATTTTGGTCAACCTCTTTGTATATAAGTCCAATATTTGAATTTTTTAGCAGAAGATTTAATGGAGGAGGATGTGGCAAGCAGGGAAGAAGATGGAGACAAGGTGATAATTGAATTGCTTTATGTTAACAAATTACAGTAACAAATATAAGTACAGTTCAAGATTAACTTCACTTCTTTGTAAACATCTTGTTTGCAGAAATGGGCACAACAGAGTGGAATTCCTTATTTACTTTATCATTAAGTTTATTCAGTAAAGCAAAGTGGTGTTTCAGTGTAAACCAGTTCACAGGGAATTTGTTTTTCCTCATAAAAAATTGAAATTCATTGGAAATTGATTGTGATTTTATTTCAGCTTGAGCCAACAGGCACCAAACACAGTGTAAACAGTTTATACAGTGGCTGTGAAGGACCAGCACAAAGCTTGCCCCCCGTCAAACAGGCCAAACTGCACAGGGGAGACTCTGTAGGCTTTGGGACCCCTCTGGGATACATAGCCCCCACTGTAGACAGGCCCAAACAGCAGTGTGTCCAGGCAACTGATGACAGCCCCTATCCCAAGTTCATCAAAGAAGAAGTCTACAGCAGAGCCTTAAGGGGCACACAGCCCTGGGTTTATGAGAGCGAAGTGTCAAATAACCCCCAATCACCTTTTAACAAATTGGTGTCAGGGTAATTATTGAATGAGAAATGTTGACTTTTTGAAGCTGATGATAGTTATGAATAGATATTTGTATTTGGCTTAAAACTTTATCTTTCACATTTCAGTTAGTTAAAACTTTCTGAATTTTGAGTATTATATGGTTAGATAGGGGCAAATTTTAATTAGGTTAGAGCGCAACTAAGCTTGGACTATTGGGTAAACTGTAATTTGCACTGCAATAGAAACCAGTCATCAAGCAATAATGAAAATATATGATATTGTATTTCATGTAGGAAAGTTGTCTATTCAACTGCTGAAGGACTGTGCCAATACATGCATGACCTTGACCCATGTCGTGTGACCTTGGGGATTATAGGGGCCATTGTTTGTGAGGTAATGCAGTGATATTACACCTGAAGACAATATACTAGATATCACATCACAATAATTGTTTCCAGTCATCCTATAATTAAAGCAATAATAACTCTTCGTTTCGGCCAAAAAATGAATTTTCCTGGAGTAAACAACAATTTTCCCATACTTACCAATGGTTAATGAATCCATTTTTACATTCAAAGTTAGTCCCTGGTTTTTTTCTTAAAAGTTTGGTTTTTTGTTAAAATCTCTTAAGAGATTTTAACAGAGTATAGACATCAATGGAGGTCACGTGGTCTAAAGACAAGTTCAAATATCAGAATAAAAGCTATAACTGCTGTTTGTGTGGTAAAACAGAATATATTATATTTCTATGAGTTATTCACAAGGTTTTTATTATGAAATATAGATCTCATACGAAGAGTTATTATCCCTTTAAGTAGCTGAATGCACAATGTATTTGAATTTTTTTAAGGACTTTGAAAAGAAATGCAATAAGTGATTGTTTGTTTTTGTTTGCTTTACCGGTTCATGCCCAGATCTATTGTACATGTACATATGCAAAATCTACCATGTCTGTATTATATTGATAACATTATGACTCAAGCTATTGCATTAATATTCTAGAAAATAGCACAAGAAGTTGAGGACAGTTTTGATGAAGGTGTACATTATGAGCATGTAAAGGTGTTAGGAAAGGGCAGCTACGGTCGCGTCAGCCTGTGTTGCACGCTAAGTGACAAAAAACGCACAGAATTTGTGAAGAAAGAGGTAATTCAAAACCTTTAACTGGATTTTCTGTTGTTTGGAGTTATATTTCATGGTTTTGTCTTTAAGAAATGTTTAACATGCATCTATTAACATAACTATAACATAAATCATACTTTAAATGTCACTGTGATAATTGTTTATTTATTGTTATAATCATACTTTCTAATGTGGAGTTTTATTTTTTATTGCAGGTGTTAAACAAGGCAAAGTTTCGCGGGAGCGAAGTTGTCGTGCCTCTCCAAATCTTACACAGAAACATACCCCAAGTGTACGGGTTTATCAACACTCCAGAGAACTATTATATACTCCAAGAGTATTCAGGTAGGAAAAGTTTGAAACACACCTACATACACATATCTATAGCAATTACTCACTATTTGAATGAAAAGTTGGTCTTCGGATGACATGCTACAGCTCCTTACCAGCAGCTTAAAAGATTCTTGTAGGATATATACATATATTTTAAAAAAATTCTTCCCACCAACACAACATTAGATTAAAATTTCAATTGTCAGCATTTTTCTGGTTGTGACCCAATTATCTTAGGTGAATACTATCAAAGATTTTTTTTTTTTTTTTTTTGCTGATGGCACCTGTTATTTTTATAGTATAAACATAGCATTTTTCTATTTTCTTTTTTTAATTCTCATCTTTCATTATTTTTAACTGACCTCAGGAGGGCCATGAGAAAGATAAATTTTATATTTTTCTGTTTTTACCCTAAGTAAATAAAGTTCAAAAGAAATATTTGATGTTTATGAATGGTAATTTTTTTCTTATTCAGGGTGTAACCTGACCCAGTTCTTACTATCGAATGAAATGGATGAAATTGAAATCAAGGAAGTCACTGCCCAGTTGTTGGATGTAGTGGCGTATTTACACAGCTTTAATATCTATCACAGGGACATCAAAGGTAACATCTGTGTGATTGTTATAAAGATGCTCAAATATTAGAAATATATTAGATTTCCTGAAAGCTACTTTTTCTCCCCAAGGTGCATGAAATATTCATATTATTTAACATGATCTGTGAAACACCCCATTTTGCGACTTGTGAAAGTGACTTCTTATTCTTTATCCTTTGCGAAATGAAGTCGTTATCCCAAGTGATTTGTGATTTTCAATTCACATTTTCAATATGATATGAATTTTTATTTACTGTGAATTATCATCACTTCCTCCCTCCCCAGTGGGACCCTCTCTTTTGACAATTCTGTATTGAAAATGTAATCATCTCATTGTGATTGACTCCTTTTATTGCAACTTCTTTTCACAGATATTAGAGGTATATGGATGCCATCTTGTCATACCACTAACAGAAAAGTTATTTTGTTTCCTTTCAGCTGATACATTGTTGCATTTAAAAAAACAACTGTCACATTGTTTCCTTCTCAGCTGACAACATTGGTGTTCGGCCTGGACTGGATGGATACGGCCTAAGAATTAAGCTGCTGGACTTCGGTGCTTGCATTACGCCCCAGGACAGTCCAGACCTGTTGGGACTGACCGCTGCCCACTGCTCCCCTGAACTGTGCACTGTGCTGGTCAAGGTGTTTCTTGGGTGAGTACTTGTCTGACTCCATCACTGAAATCAGATGTAGCCAGTGTTTGCCTCTTAGGAAAATTAGTTGCTGGACCGAAAGTCGAGCCATCTTGAAAAGTAGCTGGACTGAATGTCTGCCGGGTGGGAAAACTTCTCAGCCCGTTCTGAAAGTGGTCAACCCCGGGCAGACGGTCCAGCCTTAATTTCTAACCCTGGATGTAGCCCAATAGTCCCTTATCTCTAGTGGACAAAGTTAAATGATAAAATCTCAACCTAATTTTCCTGTTGTTCTGTCCAGTGGGCTGGTCAAGGTAAAAGTACTGCATGGTTCTGCCCTTCACAGACTGATGTTAAATTATTTAAACAAACGTTCAACAAAAAATTGTAATGCTTCATCTCATGGTAAATTGACAAAACCTGATTGACTTTCAGTGTCTTGTTTAATTTAATGGGGGGGGGGGGAGCATCAAACAAAAAATTCAGATCTATTATCATTCTTGACAGTGATCATGGACAACTTGTTATTCCAGCAAGCAAGCGTGTGAAGACCTGCTGTGTCGGGTAGACTGGGGGAAAGTGGATACGTACGCTGTGGGCTGTACTGTCCTCCACATGTACAAGAAGAAACATATCTTCTATGAAAAGATGAAAAGTTTTCCAGAAGAGAAAAATACAAAAGAGCTGCTGAAATATGTAAGTGCGGGCTGTGTTTTTATTTTGACAAAATTTTTGTCTTATGTTAAATCACAATTTTGTCGTCAAGCAAAAAGTTGCTATGGTTCTAGTATCTGAGGAAGTTGGAAATTATTAACCAATAATAACACTACTTGCTTCATAGATTGTAAAAAAATTCACTTTCAATTTTTTTTCTCCTCAGAAAATGAAATTATGAAGAAATAAAAAAATGGAGAGAAAATGAATCCTTAAGCAATCATTTTACTTTTTTCCCAAAGGTTTCAGAATATCCCAGAGCGTGTCTTCAAGAGATCCCGGATGTGTGCGTGGGAGAGATGAGGGGTCTATTGGAGGACTTGATGTCAGTGGTCACCAGCAGGGTCACACCTAAAGATGCTCTCCGACACCGAGCACTGGCTATGTGTACGTGTTTAAGCTTCTTTGAATTTATATCTGATTTTAATTTTTTTTTTTTTTTCATGATTCAAGTGCATGATATATCGTGGAGTTTTTTGTAAGGCGATTTGACTTGTAAGCAAGTTCATTAAGAAAATTAGCAGATATAAGGCATTTTTGGGATTTTATGTTTCAGTAAAAAAAAATAGTACCTCAAAGCAGTGATCACCTTTTCTTTTAAGTCACACGTTTTTTGAGTTTTGATTTTTATTTGCCAATAAGTGTTATTTCTTTTGTTATTGTTTTTAGTTGTTAAAAGTGGCAATGGCAATAGTCAAGTTAGACCAGCATCCAGCTCATCATTCACCAGAGCACCATCTACCAATGTGTTGCTGCACAATGGAGCACAGCCCCAAGCTACAAGGATTGAAAGTTGCACCAAGATGGAGGAAGGAGGCATCCCAGATTTTGGAGCTCTGCTGAATTTCGACAGCTGTGAAGATCAAATGGATGAAGACACTGGGCAATGTGACAGCAGCAGTTCCAATGACAGCAGAGATATGGATGAAGAAGATATGGAGAGTGACAGTGATCATGAGTAGATGAACTTGAGGACATGTTTGTCTGTGGCTGGTGTCACAATTGGCTGTGTTGATAGTAAAATGTGTGAAAACTGGAAACAGAACATCACCAGTTAAACATTTGTGACTTAATATGTATATATAGTTATGACTGTAAATATCTGAGTTTATTGTGTACATATTATGTAAGATAAAAGTGCAATGTATTTGTGGAATTTTTAAAATGATGCATGAATTTTAACATTCCCATGTGTAAATATATTACTGAAATCAGTGCCATATTACAAATATTATTTAATATATATATATGCTTATAAAAAATAAATGACGGATGCAGAGTTTTGCTTTTGTTGAAATTGATTTTTCTACAAATTGACAGAATTATTTGGTTTGAATTAGGGCCATAGATATTTTACTGCCTCCCACCCAGGTTGTGCCACCTCTTGGTTCAGGCATTTAACGAAGGTAATTTACGCGTGTACACATTGGTAACTAAAACGCGATAATTTTGACATTTCTTGGCTGATACAACTTTGGAAATGCAATGAAACCAGTAGTGTACTGTGCCACAGTAGGAAATTTATCAATTTTCGCTGCCAACCTCCAACCCATCAGTTTAAGAAAGAGAAAAATGAGAGGTTATTAATATTATTATTCACTATTACTTGCGAAAAATCTTCAAATCAGTAAATTTCATTTAAAAGAAATTAAATAAAGAAATAATTACAATAAATATATAAAGCTTTTCCTTCCCAATAAATGTCTTAACATCCCATTGCGTAGCCCATAGTGAACTACGACAGCCCATAAATGACATCTGCTGAAATATGAAAAGGGGAACAATTTAGACAAACCCTTTATAATAGCTTCTGTCACTTGTAACCCATTCCTTAACAAGGTGCACTGTTAGGCATTGGAGTTAAGTGAGTTGTATTATATCATGTAGCCTAATTGTCCTGATGTTATTGAAAATATGTACCATTATTCTTTCCAATAGATCAATTAATTTATTTTAATTATACCTACTACTTTTTCTCAAAACCAGCATATTAATCTTCTGGGTCATAGTTCTCACGTTAAACAGCAGCAATAAATTTAACTGGCCCATAGGGTTAAGGTATTCAGGGCTCTCTATTATGTCTTGGAATTCTTGCTTGCAGTTACATAAATGTTTATTATATCAAATGTGTTATAGTTTGCAAGTGTTTACTCTATGAGCAATTCCACTATTATTATTATTATTATTATTTTGCTGACGAAAAGCATACTTAAAAACTTAAAAACAATTTCTTGGTTTATACCACAGATGCACAGTACAACTCATTGCTTTCATACACAATGATTGCTGATATACAGTACATGCACTTTAGAGAAACGAGTAAATAATTTTTTTCTTTGCAGTCTGACAAAATAAATGTTTGTAGCTAAAATTCACGCATAATCATTTCAAAGACTTTAAATAATGACGAAAGATCAAATGTTTCCTTACCTAGTGCCCTAGCCCAAAAATAATTTTAAAAAGTTGAGATGTTTAGGTCAGACCATAATAACAGAGAAATCTAAAATCTTAAAAAGGATCAAAACATTCAGAGGAACTTTCTGACACACTAAACAGTAACAAAATAGCGAATATAATTATACAAATGTTTATTTGCAAGTAAAACAGTTGGATTGTACATTTGTTTCATTCACTAAATATAATAAGACAAATAAAACTGTTAACTCAAAGTGTTAAAATAAAATGAAAACGTGGTACTGCCAGGATATTTATAACTACATTAAGAGTAATTAAAAAAGTTTTAAAAGGATTCTGTGCCCATGGTATAAATGTCTTTGATGATATTATAGTTCTCAATTATGATGGTACGGTATACTCTTGAGATCGATGCAGAGCATACTAGTATTATATTTCATATTTGTAGATGGTGTTTTTTCATCTTTGCCCATATTGTGGAGTTATGTTTTCAATAGTTCTAAAGAGGCACCAAATGCCTGGAGTTTCTTGTCTGGAGAACAACCAACAACCCCTGATAGCCAATCACAGCATAAAGCAGTGTCAAACAGCAGTATACATGTATACCCAAGAGGTACTCAATTATTTTAATAATTTTTAAAAAGTTTTAAAAAAACTAAATACAGATCGACACAAAATAATTTTTTACTTCCGATTATTCTTATCCATAATTATTTTTCGAATAGTAACGGATTTGTACTTACAGGAGTACTTTCTGTTTTATGACTGCATTTAGCAATTAGCCTACGAGAGAAATTTAAAAGGAGCACATTTTCATTTCAACAATAAATATGGATAGATAACTTTTATAACTTATCATCAGAATCAATGTTTTAAGCAACTTGGCAAAAGCTTGAATTCTAATGTTAGACAACACTTAAATATTAGTAAGGTAACTTCATCATCTGATAAGCCATGTGTGCGGTACATATGTCCATCCTATGCCATTCAATTTTACCAGCTAATTTTCGGTCTGTGTCATTCTAAATAGTGTTTGCTGAATGAAGCTGGATTTTATATATCATATTGGTGGATACTTTTTTCAATTCGTGTAACAGCTGCAATCACTACATCCACATCATGGTTGGCGAGAACACTTGGTGATACTAAAAAACGACAGCAGAGACCAAGATCAATGGGTCTAAAGGTCAATGGGACCAGTAAACTTGACAATTGAATTATCTGAATATCTATAGAAGGAGAGCACTTTTATCATTACCAAGAGACTATAGATATGATACTAACAATGTTTTTAAGAATAATGGTTATCTGACAATAAAGGTAACTGTGGTGTGAAATTGAGGGATCCCATTAACTGTCCCCCAACAAAAACAGTTACAAATTAGCACCAACCACATTTACGAGATCAACTGCAAATAGCCAGGAATAACAAAACCAACTTACATGCAGTCCAATGCAGCAATGTCCCCAACTATGTCTTAGAAATCATTCATATGCACCTGTGTCACGTATCTTGTATAACGGATAGGAGGGTACGTGTCCGATCCGTCAAGAGGTTTCACAATCGTACAACTATCAGGATCAGTAAAATAGACCAAACTTCTACGCGTGTTCCTCTTATCGGAAGGGGTAACTCGGTGAAGCTAGGAAAAAGGAAAAATCAAATTTGACTATGTCATATTCAGAGCAGTTTTATTTTAACACCAGGACGCTGATGTACTTGTATTACGTAGTATGCTAAATCACCGCTCCCCCCAACACACACACACACACACACACACACTCAATAAACCAATTTCTCTGTCACGTCAGAAAACAAATGATCAGCAAACTGATAAAAAAAAACATTAAACATTTAAACTAATACAGCAACAGTTCAAAAAGCGGACAAAAAAGTTGGACAAAATGAAGAAGTAAGTTATCACCGCACCAGTGTGTCACATAGAATAGAGGCAGAGTCGTAAATAATGCAAATAACTAAAACTTGGAGGGCATTCAGAACAGATAATCCACGGACTATCTGAACCGCCGACCAAATATGGCTGACCCCACTTTAAAGCAACACCGCCTATTCCCCGAAATAATCCTTGTCTTTACACGCGCCGTCACTGCTGGGGCCTATAGCAATAAAAACCTAGAAACCGAGGTTTAATCCGTTAAATGGCGTGGGTGGAGGCGGGGAGACCACCAGGGAATTAGTGACATTGCTTTTAAGTGGGTTCACCATATTAAGTCCGCGGATATGTAAGTCCACTGATCCATGGCCATTTGCTCTGAATGCACTCCTGGACCCCATTCCCACAGATATTTAGATCAATCTATCCCCCTGGGGAGTCTCACTAGATTGGTGTCAGCTTAACCGGCTAAAATGTCTGTCCCACCTACCAAAAGCTGTAAGGGGGTATAATTAAGTGTTGTGCGCGCTCGGCTGACAGCAATTTAGCGTGAACCCCCAGGGTGTTAGATCGATCCAGATGGATCTATCTAAATCTTAGAGAATGCAGTCTTGGACTCACCGTGGCCTTCAGTCTGTCCGAGGTCCATCTGGGCATCATGTCATCCAAGATGACCACTATGGTACCAGGTATAGGTGTGGCTGGTTTGTACTCTCCATCCACTGTCTGCACCTGAAGGGAAAGTTGGTTCAAATCTGACATGCAAATGGGAGGTGAAAATAATATAATAGTATGTTTTATTCTTAAAACCGCACGGCAAAGTTCATAACAATGATAAAAACTAATGCATCAATATATAAAATAGTAAAAGCTAAAACAGGTATATTTAGCAAAAGCTAATAATAATAATAATAATAATAATAATAACATGTTAAATTGTTAAGTTAATAATATGTTATGTTAAGTTAAAGCATGCTAAATGTACATTTCATTATTTTTCTTCCCTTCACAGAATGACACTAGATCTACCGTTGCAACTTATACTACCAAATCCAGCAGATCGTCACAACTAACACAATGTGTGAGAGCCATCCCAGGCTCATACTCCAAACTGGCACACCAAGCACAATGGTTCACCCAGCAGACTGTCACAACTAACGCAATGTGTGAGAGCCATCCCAGGCTCATTCTCCACACTGGTACACCAAGCACAATGGCACACCCAGCAGACTGTCACAACTAACACAATGTGTGAGAGCCATCCCAGGCTCATACTCCACACTGGCACACCAAGCACAATGG